CGTGCAAAGGATGTGGTTGTTTTTGATAGTCGAAAGGAATCGAACATTTTGTTTGGTTGTATGGCTTCTTCAGAGCCAAGTGCACCCGAGGCTGCCGATGAGCATGCAAAATATGCTCAAAATGTTGAAAAACGCTGAAAAGAAACCCAAAATGCGAAAAAAAGCTGAAAACCCCGTAAATGCGAAAAATATGCAAAACATAAATTATTGTCATAATCCGGACAGGCCTACTGTACGCAAGTCACAACTTGGCTGACCTCATCAGGGTGACGTAGTGCACGAACTGCACTGTTTCAGATCTGATATGCACAGTTGCACACTCTGGTTTATGTACTCTTGATTTAACCAATTGTCTACGTCTGGGAAAATCGACCTTCGGGGATTCCCGCGTTTCGCGAGAAAGAAATCAAGATAAGAAAAAAAGGTCTTTCCTTGTTGGCGGTAGGGAGTCGCAGTCGCTCGCACTCGAGTGCCGATGCCAGGCTAGAAGTGAATCAAGTAATTATTTTGGTTTTGAACAAGACGACACCACGCCCCCAACGCACTGAAATCGAGAAACAAGGCCGTCACAGCCGGGGCGTGGCTGGGGCGGCTGAGGCCGGCCCACTTTTTCGGCTATTTTTTAGCACATTACAACAAAGCGCGATGATCGCAGCTTAGCGCAAACGTGACAAATCCTTGTCCCCGATCGTGGTTTGTTGCGGAAAAAAGTCTTTCATTGCAGTTAAACTGAAATGGCACCAAATGCCTGGAAATGCTTCCAATTGGCTTCAATTTTTGATTTTTTCCCGGGGGAGGGTAATGTTTGTCCCCAATCGTAGCGTCTTCTTGGTTTGTAGCAGAATCAAAAAGACTTTCATTGTAGTTACCGTACACTGAAATGGCACCAAATGCCCGGAAATGCTTGCAATTGGCTTCAATTTTTGAATTTTTTTCCCGGGGGAGGACCCCGTACATGGCCGCCCCACCTCCAAAGTCAGTGCGAAGGGCCTGAGAAAGAAATCAAGATAAGAAAAAAGGTCTTATGTTGGTTTGCGTTGCGCAAACCGTCGTTAACCAGCACGCCACTGGCCGCGCCCCCGCAGGGGAATATTCCCGCTAGATGACTTTAGGTGACCTTACGGCGGAAGTTACGCACTCCGCCGTGCCGCCACAGCCGACTTGCGCAAGCACGCACTCTTGCAGAGTTCCGCATTCGAGTCACACTCGCGTACGACATCCCGTATGAGCTTTAGGGTTTTACGTCGGGCCCTAGACGACGGCTACTTTGGCCAACCGGACAACGAAGAAGTTGTGACCAAAGAGGAGGATTTTATTTCTTGCGCATGCGTATGTAGAATGACGTAATACTCTGTGCAGGTCGCTACAGTACTCCCCCGCCACTGGTGAGGTCGGGAGGAGCGAAGCACGATAAACAAGAAACAAGAAAGAGAAGAGAAAGGAAAGCGCAGCATGTACAAGGCGGAAAGGCAAAAATATAATAATATGATACATTATGTACAAGCGAGAGCACTGCGTGTATGAAATTTGTTTGTGACGTGGCAACAAAGGCCGAAACAAAATCAAAAATGCAGAAAGCGGAAATGAGAGAGATGCATGACAGAGGCGGGTTAACGTGTCAGAGGTGTGTTAACGTGACAGAGGTGGAGAGCATGTCAGAGGCAGAAAGACAGAAAAGAGGAAATGTACGCATGACAGAGGAGTATTATCGTGTCAGAGGCGGCTGCATGTTGCAGGCTTGGCGGGGTACCAGCAGGAGCGCTGCACTGATGCGAGGCATGCCGAGTGAGGCGGGGACAGATGGAGGCGAGCGCAGCTCCATGGGGTCCGGTGCCGGACGTGTGCCTGCGTGCGTGCACAGTGAGTGAGCTGGTACGACGGGTGGAGGTGGCCAATTTCCAGCTTGAGGCCAGGACGAAGACGACTGGACGATGTGCCGTGGCAGGATAGCGGGGTATCCAGGTGGGCCGGGAGGGTGGCAGGGGCCACAGCAGCTCCGAGGCGGATCCAGTGACGAGTGGTGGTGAGGCTCAAGTTTTACGTCAACAGCCGGCGATTGACGGGATCCCGAGAGTTGAGGCGAGCAGGAAACTGCGGCGGGCCGAGCTCGGGGATGGCATGCTCAAAACTCCGAAGAGCGCAGCGCCAGGGGTCACCAATTTAGGGTTTTACGTCGGGCCCTAGACGACGGCTACTTTGGCCAACCGGACAACGAAGAAGTTGTGACCAAAGAGGAGGATTTTATTTCTTGCGCATGCGTATGTAGAATGACGCAATACTCTGTGCAGGTCGCTACAGAGCCACCCTTCGCCTGGCGGATGCATCCGTACTCGTAGACGGCTCATCTACTGCTGGCTGGTGTAATTTTGCCAGTTGTCTGTTTTGCTGTGAGTGCTCGCCACGCAATTTTGTTTCAGTTGCAATTTTGTTTTCTATTCCTCAACGTTTAGTATGGCTTTCTCAGCAGCCCAGAGGGACTCCATCGCCGAGATTGTGGCTGCCAGGGTTGCAGCAGCACTTGGCAACAGCTCGCCGGCTGGACACCACGTGGCTGACTCCGAGACTGGAGCAAACAGTGTGTTCTCAGATGTCACGCACCACAACCACACCCCCGCTTGTATTGCGCATGTGGCCCAAGAAGCCATTGACAAAATAAAACGGATCGAGTATGTCGATATTGCTTGTCTGCTACCCCCAAAGCCGGGACCAGCCGCCGAACCAACCCCCAGGAGATTCCGGGTAGATGACGACGGGGCACTGGCATCTGCGCCGCTCCAAAACGGAAAATTGAAAACTTGGCCACGTGGATCGAGGCGTGGTCCATTTTCAGCCTGGTTGCCATAGGCGAACATCACCTATGCGCCGAAGCCCTGATGATTCACCAACTCCGAATCATCCAGGCCGCCGGCAAGTACCACTTCGCAGCAGTTGTCGAATTCGACACCAGGGCGCGGCAGGCGCTGTCGAAAGATTTGTCCCGGTCACTGGCAGACCTGGACACTGAGCTCTACACAACCTGCTTTACCGGGCAGGCACTCCCCTTTTGCAACAACTGCAAGAGGCTGGGGCACCTGACCGCCTCCTGCACAACGCAGCCCTTTCGGAGCAGGCCAAAGGAGCAAGGTGTCAGCTCCAGCGCAAAACCGAACGAGACCTGCCGCCGTTACAACTACGGCACCTGCGTCGGCTCGTGCAAGTTTCACCACGCATGCATGTTTTGCTCGGGAGAGCACCCAGCTTCCGCCTGCTCAGCCAAGAAATAGTGATGCCGCGAAGGCAGCCCCGGCAGTATCCTCTCTTTTAAATAGTCTTATTCCCGTAGCTATGCAGAAGACGTTACTTCAGTAACGTCTGGCGCTAGCCAGGGTCCACACAGCTTTAATTTGGTGTTTGTTTGTGTGTTTGTTTGTTTGTGTCACGCCTGGAGCTATCCCGTATCTGTCCCGTATCTGTCCCGTATCTGTCCCGTATCTGTGACTACAAAGGCTCTACAGGATTGTACATAACAGCTGTCCACAATATGTACCGGCTCCTGTATCTGTCCCGTACCGTACCAATATTCGTCGTATTATGTGTACGACTTCCTGATGTAGAGGGAGATTTGGAAAGAAATAGGGAGACGAGGAGGAAATTAAATTAGAATAGACGCCGAATAGGTGATAGGATGCGTCAGCATAAACAAACTTTTGAAGAGAGATCCCGTCGTCTCCAAAATAAGCGTGAACGAGCGATTCAGCGCCGGTCACAGGAAACGTCGGAAGAGAGATCCCGTCGACTCCAGAACGCCCGTGATCGGCAGAGTCCGCGCCGGTCCCAGGCAACGTCAGGACAGACATCCCGTCGAGTCCAGAACGCCCGTGATCGGCAGAGTCTAAGCCGGTCCCCGGAATCGTCAGGGCAGACAACCCGTCGAGTCCAGAATGCCCGTGATCGGCAGAGTCAGCGCCGGTCCCAGGAAACGTCAGGACAGACATCCCGTCGACGCGCAGAAAAACTAAATCTGCAGCCTCTTTTGCCGTCGGACAGGATAGGTATTTTAGGAGACTGTAAAGTTATGTAATGTGCTCCACAGGCAACCATGCATTCGGCGTCGTCATTGGCTCACCAGGTCCATGTAGATGTATTACTACAAAAAGGCCAGAAAATCCGATTCCTGTATTAAAATCAACTAATGATCGCTGGCGATTTAATTTCGCTGATTTCGCCGCTTGGTACCAACCGGCCAAAGTAATTCGCAGGCCAACGTTTGTCATATAGGCAAATGATGCATGATTGAGCAATGGATGCATGTGAGAGCAAAAATACCGATCGATTTCAAATTTGACGTGAAACTGCGCGTCACGTCGGAAATAACGTGCATCTTAACCTCTCTAATCGAGAGGTTTCTATTTCTCATCGGCCAAAATTTGTTGATTTACAATATAAGGAGATAAAAATTAAAGAAGGAGCAAGACAAAAGTAGATGATTATTAGAGAAACAACAATCCGCAATAAATTCTGCAAATACTTTTGCCTAACTCATAATATTCAAACCGATTGAAACGTTTTTGCAATACAGTGATGTGGCCAATGAACGGAAAAAGACAATTCCATCAGTTCTTATAACATGTACGATGAGCTAGGCAAAAAAGCATAAAAGCATAGCGTAGGGCCCTGAGCTTCCAAGCTCTCTCGTTTATAATATTGCACCGCACACCCCCATCCACATTGATGTATTGCATGATGAATTGCGCACGCACCCCGACCCCTCTTTTGTTCTTGCTTTGATTAATGACTTGCGTTTTGGCTTTCGCATTGGTTTTTCCGGGCCTCGTAATGTTTCTGTTCATAGTGCTAATCTGTCCTCTACAACAGCTCACCCCGAAGTCGTTGACCAATATCTCGCAACCGAATGCCAGCGGGGCCACACAGCCGGTCCCTTCACAGCTCCGCCATTCGCCTGCCTCCGCACATCAGGAGTCGGGGTGGTCCCGAAAAAATCAGGCGGGCACCGGTTGATCATGCACCTCTCCGCGCCGCAGGGGAACAGCTTGAACACGTTCATTGACCCTGACCAATACCGCTTCAAACTGATTACGATCGACTGCATTGCCGATCATGTTCGCAGAACAGGCCCCTGCGCACTAATAACCAAGGTGGACCTGGAGCACGCGTTTCGGCTCTGTCCAGTACACCCCGACGACTGGCCATTGCTTGGCATGCAATGGAGATCGAAGTATTACTTTGACACAGTCTTGCCGTTCGGCTTGCGGTCCGCCCCTAGCTTGTTTAACCGCCTAGCAGACGCGCTTGAGTGGATCCTACGCCACAAGTACAGCATACCCGCACTCGAGCACTACCTCGACGACTTTGTTTCGGTATCACCACCAGCCACTGTGGTGCCATCGTCGACAGCCGCAGTCCACAAGGCCACGATCCTTCAGGTGTTCGACAACCTGGGTGTCCCCACTGCAGTTGGCACCGACAAGGTGGTGGGTCCATCCACGTGCGTCACCGTGTTGGGCATCGAGATTGACTCGGCCACCGGGGAACTCCGCCTTCCCACTGACAAGCTCCGCGCGCTGCAACATCTGCTGCAGTCATGGTCTACCCGCCACACCGCCTCACGGCGGGAACTCCAATCGCTAGTGGGCCACCTGTCTTTCGCAGCAAAGGCTGTTCCTGCTGGACGCACCTTTACCAGACGGCTCTTTGATGCATGCACCTCCGCTCACGGTTCATCGCCCATCGTCCACCTGAGCAGCGATGCCCTAGCCGATATCCGGTGGTGGCAGGAATTCCTTCCCGTCTGGAACGGCAAAGCCCTCATGCGCGACCCAGAGTGGTCTAGGTCACCAGACCTTGAGTTGTTCACGGACGCATCCGGCCTAGGCTTCGGTGGCTTCTTTCAAGGTTGCTGGTTCGCCGGCGCATGGTCCGCAACGCAACAGACGCCGCCATACACCTCCATCATGTGGAGGGAGATGTGGCTGTTATGGTTCGTCTATACTCGGCGGACGCCGTTCACACACTCAAACTCAAGACAGTCCAGTCACCTTGAAAACGCAAGCCTTCCTTTCCACAACTCTCCGAGAACTCCCCGAGAGCAACAACCAGTCCCAGGTTATATCCCCAAAAGCAGAAGTATGTGTACCGTAGAACAGAGTTGGCGTGCAAAGAGTAGCAAAGAGTAGCAAGTCCTGTACGCGTAGAACCTAGCGCAGAACCTAGCGGCAGAGTACACACATGCAGCTGCACGTGCACGCGCCAAATCTCTGAAGCAGACATGAATAGAGCTGGGTGGTAGAATGCCTAGGGGGCCTATGGGGCCATGCTTTCAGCACCTAGACCTGAACACAGAGAAGTGAGGATTCATTAGGCAAGAGGGCTATACAATCAAGACATCGATGAGAGGGCTATACAATCAAGACATCGATGAGAGGGCTATACAATCTCAAGACATCGATGAGAGGGCTATACAATCAAGACATCGATGAGAGGGCTATACAATCAAGACATCGATGAGAGGGCTATACAATCAAGACATCGATGAGAGGGCTATACAATCAAGACATCGATGAGAGGGCTATACAATCAAGACATCGATGAGAGGGCTATACAATTAAGACATCGATGAGAGGGCTATACAATCAAGACATCGATGAATACATGCAGTTAAGGTTACAACAGTGGCCAATCTCCCTCGCCTGCCAGCTGTGGGGACCGCTTTGGACGCAGAAGAAGATCCTGCTCCACTGCGACAACGCTTCCGTGTGCGCTGCCTGGGAGTCGGGCACCTGCCGGCACCCAGGAGTCATGGCGCTCATACGCAGCACCCTCCAGACGGCCGCTCGCCACAACTTCTGTCTGCTTATCCGCCACATCGCCGGAGTAGACAACGGTATCACAGATGCCCTATCCCGCGCTCAGTTCCCACGGTTCCGCCTCTTGGCGCCCGGGGCCGACCTCAGTCCATCGTCACTCGCTAACATCCACGCCGCAGTGTGAGGAAGTCGCCATCCAGGGTCCGCCGTTACCGAGATTGGACACTCTGCTCCTGAGACCACAGAACTATGCGTCTGCCCCCGTGTTTTCTTTTTGGTTTTTTTCACTTTTTCCGCTGTGTATCTCTGTTCGCACAGCCTACTGCCACGCCCCACCCGTTGCACCTCTGCACTAGTTGTTAAGCCCTCGCCGGGGTGTTACTGGCTATCATTTCTGCCTCAACCCTGTGTGCTCACGGATTGTCAAGTTCTTTAGAATCGCATCCCTGTATGCTTATGGACCGAGTCAAGTCCTCTAGATTTGCCGCCCGGTGTGCTTAGGGACTGAATCAGGTCCCCTAGACTCCTGCACTTTTCTTGGGAGCAGTTCGGTCCCGCCGCTGCCTGGGGAGACCACTGCAATAGGCACGTTTACCGGTAGATCGGGAATCAAAAAGGCAAGCCGCAAGCAAAATCCGCACGCCTCATGGCAGTAGGCCTCCACCGGTCAGAGAGCCCCGTTACACCTAGGATCATGACTGCGCTCATGGGGGTGGGTCGCACGAAGCAGGGTCATTCGCACTGACTGAATTTCTTTGTCCTTTGTTGTGTTGATTCCAGGCTCGCTGGCCGTTGCCGCATGCAACCGCTCACATGATGGCTCGCCAGCCCAGATCGCTCATCTATCCGCAGAAAAGCAAGGCCGCAGTCAGATACAACCTCCTCTGCAGGGGAGGACCTGTGGAAGTCCTTGCATCCAGCCGGCTCACCGCTCTGGTGAAAGGCCTGGAGAGAGAAAGCGCGTCGCTCCCACGACACGCAACTGCCCAGCCTCGGAGACAGGCTATCATCGCCGTACAACTCAAGGCACTACATCTTTTCCTGCAGCGTTCCGCTTATAGCCCTGGCGACACGCTCATGCTATGGGCCGCGTTGACGACAGCATTCCATGGTGCTGCGAGTTAGCGAGTACACGTCCCCGTCGCCAGCAGGGTCGGGTACCCTGAAAACTCTCAGGCGCGCTTACCTCGTGCTCTCTCAGGCCACAGCCAGCTTACGGCTTCAACGCACGAAGACATCGCAGCTGACAAGCGGTGGCGAGGTTGTGCTGCATCGCCATGCAGACCCGCAAATATGCCCCGTCCTGGCCCTCGGGGCATACGTCAGATCATGCGCATGGGGTAGTGACGAACAACCTCTCTTCAAGTTCGGCAATGGACGATGGCTCACGCCCAATGACATCAACGCAGTGTTGCGCAGGGTTCTGGGCCCCAGCTACAGTAGCCACTCCCTCCGTGCAGGTGGCGCAACGCACATGGCGAACCAAGGTGCCCCGGAGTATGCCTTGATGGCAGCCGGGCGGTGGTCCAGCGGAGCTTACCGCACGTACGTTCGCAGGCCTGCAGGCATGTCACGGCGTTACTGAGCCACGGGTCGCAAGCACCGCACGCCCCCTTTTCTTGGAGGCACGGGCTCGGCCGATGGGCATGAATTCCGCATGGTGCACATCCATCGGCTGCCGCAGACAATACAATTTTAAATATACTTGTGGGTACTACCGAGTACTTAGTGGTCATGCAGTTGCCATAGCAGTGTACTGGTACACCCAGCCTTTATGATTGTTACAGGACCCCACGGGTCGTCTTTCAAACGCTCTTTCATAGCCGATAGATAGATGGCGTTATTTGTTCCTATCATACTATGTTTCAGATGGGCGGCCTTAAGGCCGATTCACAATACAACTTTCTGCGACGCGACACGCGATTTGCGACAGTTGCGACAAGAAACTGCCTGTCGCGAGCTGCCGCAATGCACCTGCCGCAGAAGTTGAAGAAAGTTCAACTTTTGCGACATGCGACACACACACAAATGGAGTACAGTTTCGACCCTGGGTGCACGTGCATAGTACTGCTTGTGCATGATCATGATGAGGATGTCGCAAACATGAATATTGTGAACCGTGTGTCGCATGTGTCGCAAGTCGCGTTGCAGAAAGTTGTATTGTGAATCGGCCTTTAGACGGCCCAGTCCGATCATTTCACGCGAACTATGTTATACGTCATCATGATCACAATAACCATAATTATGTCGTGCTCCCGTTCAATAGGGAGGTTTAGTTCCCACGTAACGGAAACGCGTACGTGGGTGATCCACGTAAAGTGGAGGAAGGGCATCCACGTTGCAATGTTGTGTTTAGTCACACGGAACAAACAAAAGCATGAAGCGAAAGGCCCAAACCTGGTCAAAGACGAAGCTACCCGGGCCTAAGAAGCTCATCGAATATTTTTATTTCGTGCTTCGGAAATTTCTTCAGCTGAGCACCCTCACAGCTCGCAAAATGCGCTCCATTCTGATTTTCACCCACGTTCTGGCGGAACGTGGGTGAGCCTCCATAGTCCATACACGGTATGTCGTGAATCAGAAAACGTCTGTACGTGGCCGTGGGTCACTGAGTATCACGTGGTACACACACGTAAAGTACCCACGGATTACGTGGGACTAAACCTCCCTAATACTAGAGAGGTTCTGCTATACGTGAAACGTAGAGAAATCACGTAGAGAGCAGGTGCCTGGGTTAGAGTCTACGGCTTCGCGTGTTTTGGCTCCAGATTTCTACGCGGAGATGAGGTTCTCTACGTTGCGGCACACGCAGAGAAAATGCGTACGGATTTGGTGGGTATCGATCAACTGCATGCAGAAAACTGCCAAATATGGAAGGGGAAATTCCCAGTACACATTCCACGTGACTTCTCTAGGTGAAACGTAGAGCAGAACAGCATTTCTTTACGTTACGGGAACGCGAAGAAAGTTCGCGTGATTCTTTGCGTCGCGTTCCCAAAACGTAGAGCAGAACCTCCCTAATTATAAGCTTGCGACACCCCACTGGCTCATCTCTTCTGTGGTGTGAGGGTTAAATGTTGGTTTGCGTTGCGCAAACCGTAGTTAACCAGCACGCCACGGGCCGCGCCCCCGCAGGGGAATATTCCCGCAAGATGACTTTAGGTGACCATACGCACTCCGCCGTGCCGCCGCAGCCGACTTGCGCAAGCACGCACTCTTGCAGAGTTCCGCATTCGGGTCGCACTCGCATACGACATCCCGTATGAGCCACCCTTCGCCTGGCGGATGCATCCGTAGACGGCTCATCTACTGCTGGCTGGTGTAATTTTGCCAGTTGTCTGTTTTGCTGCGAGTGCTCGCCACGCAATTTTGTTTCCCACCCGCCCACGCCTACCGGACGGAGGGGAGGCACGGGCTCGGCCGATGGGCACGAAATCCGCATGGTGCACATCCATCGGCTGCCGCAGACAATACAATTAATATACTTGTGGGTACTACCGAGTACTTAGTGGTCATGCAGTTGCCATAGCAATGTACTGGTACACCCAGCCTTTATGATTGTTACATGACCCCATGGGTCGTCTTTCAAACGCTCTTTCATAGCCGATAGATGGCGTTATTTGTTCCTATCATACTATGTTACAGATGGGCGGCCTTAGACGGCCCAGTCCGATCATTTCACGCGAACTATGTTATACGTCATCATGATCACAATAATCATGTCGTGCTCACGTTCAATATAAGCTTGCGACACCCCACTGGCTCATCTCTTCTGTGGTGTGAGGGTTAATCCTTGTTGGCGGTAGGAAGTCGCAGTCGCCCGTACTCGAGTGCCGATGCCGGCTAGAAGTGAATCAAGTAATTATTTTGGTTTTGAACAAGATGACACCATGCCACCAACGCACCGGTGTGGAGTGAAGTGGATTGGGGTACAAACAATAATATACGACCCTCTCAATTCAATCCGGTCGTACACTGCCGCGTTTGGAGTTGCCAAGGGCAGCTGTGTACGCGCCTGCTACGGCGATGCCCAATGAAATCTGACCAGGCGCGTCAATGACCGCATCCTCGTCTACGCTGTGTCCCCGTGCCTGGTGTCTCTGCACAGGGCAGGGCTCAAACCTACTCTCGACTCGCAGGACTTCATGGAGCAACACTGCAGGTAGCGAGCGCGCACACGCACCACCACCACAAGCATACAAACCAGAAAATCAACTGGAACGTATTCTGCCATATAAAGCAACATGAACAACAGCAGCAGCACACAGCGTCGCAACGAGAAAAAAAGCTTGGGCCCAGAAAAACAGGATAGGGCGCACGCTGTCGGATAAAACGGAGAACATACACACAAAGCAGCATAATGGCGACACGCAACGCATATAAAACCAACAATGACTGTGCTGCCGTCAGCATTCTGTAGTGGCCCACGTCAAACTCGCACGCAAATCAATGAAAAAAGAAAGAAAAAGAAATGCACCGGGGAAGCTAGACAGCGAGTTTGCACACGGTAGCCAGAGATAGGAAAAAAATGGCCGTTCTTGTTCTTGGTTAGATGAGGTACATGCATAAGCATAGACACCTTACGCTTTGTGTCAGGGTCGACTCAAAAAAGAGAGGGTAAAGAACGCCATGAAAGGAGAAAAATCTCTCACGAAGGGAGAGAGTAGATAACAGCACACAAACTGCCCAAGGACTGGGCGTGTATGGCCACTCCAGCATGAAGCCAGCCATCATAGAAGGGAAAAAGGAAGGAAGATGTAAAATGCATTGCATGCCGGCAGCAGGAGCACACCATCATCACTGAAAAATGCGCGGGTTGGGATCAAAAGCATAACACACAAACACAAGCACACACGCACATACATGCATCAAGACAAATCTCAACACATGAGGAACAGGGAGAAATTGGGTAGGGGATGACTAGACAGCAGCGATCACTTCACCACACACCCACACACAACAAAGTTGTCACCTAAGACGAGACCCAAACAGTAAGACACAGGCGACAGTGGTGTCACCACCCTTAAATTCGCCACCGAAAACCACAATTTATTGATCAAGAGATGAGGATCCTGATGCTATACACTACACAGGTACTGTGGACGGCGTGATGACGCGACGTAGAGAATCCAGAAAGGCGCGTACAAAGTACAAGTAGCAGCACACGTCTACAAGTAGTAGAGCCTATTGTTGAGGGCATCATCCGGCATACTGACGAGGTGCTCGCCGACCAAATAGGCCAGCTTGTGAGCATACTGGCACTGAGCTGGAACACGCACCGTACCCTACAATACATACAAATCACGAGCACACGTGCACGCACACATACACATATGCACACACACACACGCACACATACACACACAAACAGAGCACTCATCAATATTAGAAAACATAACCACTGGGCTAGCTCTTCAGTAAACAGCCGGAGAGCGCAGGTGCACGTTGCGTTGCCACCACACAACACTACAGGTGGTTGGCCAGACTTTATAACCACAGTACAGCATGCTCTTGAAGAACACAGGGTGGTAAACATTGCTGGCTCGTAAAGTTCCAAGTGCATTGCCGAATATGGATTGCATGAGCAATGTCAGGGCTCACAGCATCACACAAACGCGTGGGCGCCATTTTGGACAGGCCACTGTCACAGGAGCCAGCCAGCATGCCAGAATCGTGTACATGCAATCAGGCAGATATCTCTGAAAACTTGAAAGTGAGGTGCATTCAAAATATTCATTTGTACCAATGCTTTTGCCTAGGCCTCTGAAACTCTAGGAACATACTCTCAATACCCATTGTAAGGATTTCTCCGAGAGTCTTTCGTTTTAATCGATACAGTTTGGCGCACATATGGAGCCAAAGTATCAGTTGGTGCAGGCGTAATTCTGATTAGGATTATTGTACTAAAATTGAAAAGTCTCTCGGAGAAGTTCTTCTAATTTTCCTACTGAAAATTTTAAGCTATTGGCCATCAAAATCAGGCCAGAGACGGGTACAAACGAACATTTCAAAGGCAACCCTATCTGCAGTTCAGCCGCGAGGAAGAACCGCGCGTGCTGGACCTGTTGTGAATGCGGAAACAACACTAGCAGCAAAGCAATTTTTGAAACGTTTTTGCAACTCGCCTGGCGCTTCATCGCTGTGTCCTCCAGGAGTTATCATGGTTATGGCAGACCGAAGAAATACATGGCTAGCACAACGGCGAAGCCATAGGCCTTATGCACATTGTACAGATGCACGAAATCCCGTATAATCTTGTAGAATCCCGTAGACCCGGTTGGGTGTTGAATGTGCAGGACCCTATTGTGTTTACTGCTATTTCCACTATGAAATGGGCCATGAAGGCATTTCATACGAAATCTTTTTCCGGCAGAGATCTAGCTAGTCGTTAGTTCAATCCCAAAGTGAAGAAGGCTTGAAAAGTGATCGTTTGCCATGAATTGTGAGGCTAAATGGGTCAAACGCGCATGTATAGCACACAATGAACACCCAACCGGGTATGTACACACCTACGGCCATAGTACAGAACTTCGTACATCTGTACAATGTGCATAAGGACTATTGGACTTGTTCTCTTGCAACGAAACGGAGTGGCGAATAATTCACAACTCCACATCGTCACCACTGCGCTACACGGCTCTGCAGACCAGCCGTATATTTACGTTTACACAACAGGACTTAACGGCGTAGAAACTTAAACTAGAACACGACACGAGTCATTGCTCCATGCCGTCAAGGAATGCTTGTCCTTTCCCTCTCCCGTCACCCGCACCTGTGCATCAGCGGCGTAGCTGCCCGGCTGTAGATGTTGAACTCTTTCGTCAACGACTGCAGGATTGAAGCGCGCACCGTTGTGCTGGTACAGAGAGACTGGCCTGCCTCAGCAAACAAAAAAACGTCTACCTTTGAGCCACGTGCCACTTGCCATCCCGCCGTTAGGCTTCCTGTACCTGGATGCAACGAGCTACAAGTAGGTCGTACCTCAGTCTTGTAGTACCACCAGAAAATAAGATAACAAGGCACCACGTTTCGCGTGCCGGAGGTAGTATATGTTTAGCAAGATGTGCCGTGTGGCTTAAAAGGGTCCTGTGAGGAAAAGCAGAAGAAAAGAAGCTGCAGACAACAGTAGAGATGTGCGTTCTTACCGGCCAGTTGTAGTACATGTGGGTATTGATGTAGGCGTATCGCTGAAGGAGGTCGATATCAAATCCCTTTCCGACATTGGCCGTGTCATAGATCAGGTTGAAATGGGTGGGCGTGACAGTTCCCTGGTTGACCGACTGACTGCACAGGTAGAAGTCACACCTGTGCACCACACCATGGTGGCAGGATAGGGCACAGAGCAGCAGCGGCAGAAAGAGCAAGAGCAAAGTTAGCTAACACCAAAACATCTCCCCTGCCTCTCCTCAACTAACACAGGTGCTCATATGAAGACTGCCCTTTGGAATCATCCAGGTGCAGCCAGGTCAGTCAGAAGCACGAAAGACTCACGACAAGCACGAGTATGATGCACAGTAGCAGCAGTATCCATTTTTCATCGAAGAGGTGTGTGTGTGTGTGTTTGGGGGGGGGGGGGGGCAAATGGTGCTATAGCTACAAACAGTTTGAAGAATAGTGAAGAGCTGAGCAAAGACATGTGAAGCAATAACAACAAAAGCAGAAGCTTCTCGTCTTTCCCCACCATTAATGAAAACAGGGCAATCCACTGGAAGTGAGAAAGAAATGCAAACGTACCACTTCTTGCGAGTAACCACATCGTCGATGATTGTTCCAGGCCTAGGGTTTTCATAACTGCCAGGTCCTGTGTTCAAGTAGAAGCGCTGGCTGACACGCTTCTGAATGACCATGAAGGTAAGACCGATCCTGTGTGGGCCAGAGCAGAAATAGCAGCAGCAGCGGCAATAACATCACTTAAACGACCATGCATATACGTGAACAAGGAAAGTCCACTCAGGGACAGGGCACGCAAATACACGTCACTCAAGTTGGCGCCTTGCACCACTTTCGCAGCCAAGTGTTCACAGGTCTAGGGATGCACAACGGGCGGCGCGTGTACTTGAGAGAACGACTGGATTTCATTGAGCGACACTGTTCCAGCAACTGCAATTACTGGAATTCTTCACAGCACATAGCCACTACAGTCCATTCATTGGAAACTGGCTTGCTGGCTTTTGAAAGTCGGATTTGGGCCGAATTGAGGATCAAAAAACCACTTTAAATCTCAAAAATCTGGGTTTTGGATCTGCTTCTCCATACATTTTGCCATGGCATACCTGTCCTAATTTTGTAAAACCTGGCTGAATTTCTATTTCCCTGTTCTTGGACTTTTCTGGCCTCAAATGTGGCAAGGAGTAATCGCATGGGTCACACAATGCAGGGTGTACTGTTGTTTTCACGATATCTACAACTATGCGAGAGAGAGATACCAAAAAGTTAAGGTGCCAGTTTCCAATGAATGGACTGTAGCATAAGCTGCACATGCATTTGAAGCAATACATAGCCACTACTGGGCACTAGGCCATAAGCTGCACATGCATTTGAAGCAATACATAGCCACTACTGGGCACTAGGCCATAAGCTGCACATGCATTTCAAGCAATACAGTACTGTCATGTGCTGAAGAACGAACAGGCTAGAATTTTACCAAGCATAGCACACCTCAGATGTATACACGGTGACTCAACTGTACATAGATTCAAGAGTATATTTGATGACGGCGCGTTCTTGGCTGTGCGGTATACAATTCTAGAATGTGTGCTCCTCTATGGGAGGAGCACCCTATAGTTTGTCGTTTCCGTGCAGCCCTGTTGGCTGTGACGACAAGTTCCTTATTCCACAGAAGAACACAGGTTCGAGGGGCGTACAATGCACAGCCTTGAGCGTGCCAGATATGAAGTCTCAACAATGGGTCTAACCTTCAGTGACCAGTACTACACAGACACATACACAGACACATGTAAGCAGAATATGTCAGCGAAGCCAACACCTGTGGCACCTCTTACTTGTGGGAGGCTGTTGCCTGGATGGCGTCCAGGAACTGGGCGCACTCGTGGCTCCTCACCAGAGGGAGCTGCAACAGAGCAGTGCAATAGCAAGCAAACACACATACCAGAACCCGTCACCAGAACATATTTTAGCAGCCAAGCTTTTTATCTTCAAATTCTGTGTTCTTATTAACACATGCACTTTTTAGGAGAAGGTTGAGTTCTGCTATGCGGGGAAGAAAAGCGAACAGACCTTCCGCTTCTAAGGAACAGCTTTTGCCATCGCCCTGCAGAACATGTAGGGTGATGGCTCTGGTGTGCCAACATTGGTGTTGTGTTGTCATGTGTGACTGCGGCCTAAGGCACCACATCAAGTCAGCTGGATATCTACATTGTAAAGTTGTGGCCAGCTGCAGCCAATGCTGGAAAGAGACTACGGATCATCTTTCAATAAGCTGGAAAAGTAGACGGAGAAGTTACACCCTGCGTGGTACAACTTCCTACAAGTGAAAGCAAAGCAATGTCACAGTCCTGATTGAGCTAGCCTATTAAAGGGTACTAGTCAAGCTGCCCACCCAAACCAACTGAAGATTTATTTGGCCATGGCATGACCAATGTCCCTCTCAAAGCGCAACATCAAGTGTGAAGGCTAGATGAAGAGTGCTTTATGCTGGCAGATCCAAATAGAACAAAAAGGGAATTTGTAGGACAACAAGACATACCTGACCATCACCGACACCATCGCGGAACACGACAATGTTGTTCGGGTATCTTCCGTGTAGTTGATAGTAAGCTTGTAGAGCATCTAAGACAAGGAAGAGTCGAATTACACAAAGAGCACCGCCTCGCTCATAATACACATTACAGGATGCACAGCACATTATAGAGTTCCTTTTCAACAACAACAACAACAAAGACACTAACAAAAGCGGATATCACAGTCCTGATAGCTAGTCTATCATGGGGCATAGTCAAGCTGCTCACACGACAAAAACTGAAGAATTCTGTAGCCAGGACATGACGACTGTCTCTCTCACAGCGAAACAAAAGGCTTGCGAGCTAGAAAAGACAAGCCTTATGCCGGCACGTCTGGACATATACACCAGTAGGGAATAGCTCAAGACGGGAATGCAAAGAACACCACGTTTTCTGTCACTTACGAACGGTAGGCTGATGCAGCTGATTCATATTCTCTTCTCTCTCGCATTGAACAAAAGCTTTGGAATAGAACCTATGGTAGTGCAACAAAAAAGAGGAAATATTAATAATTAGTTCGAGGGAAAGGAAAAAAAGGTCCACGAAGAAACGTGACTTATCACTTCAAGGTGCTCTTCCTGCCAAGCACAATCTAGTGGGATGCAGCACACACTGTACCCACACGCTTCACTTACAATTTTTTTTGAAAGCACGCTACCAAATAAGAGAAGATATCGAGACGGAGAAAATACACCTTGAGCATGACGCTCTTGTCAAGAAAGTGTGAATGGAGGTAAGAGCCGACAACGCTAAAATGCAACACTAAACCAGTGTGACAGTTCTCATTGAGCAAGTCTCTCACGGCGTACTAGTAGACTATGCACGATAGACCATGGTAGACTCTACTCACACTTCGTATTCCAATACTTAGTAGAATAATCGTTCGTTCGCTCGAGTGAAATTGGCTAGATTATTCTTTGGTAAAATTCATGGCCCGTTAAATCCCTAGTAACAAGTAAACAGTTAGCACACTAGACTGTCCTTACCTGTCCTGGCCCGGGGTAAGAGCTGCCACATAGCCAAGGATGGAGTTCTGTCCCCTCTGATGGTACACGTCCAACCCGACGGTCATGGCACTAGAAAAAATACCACACGGCTCCGCATGCCACAGGGCGCCGCCCAGCTTGACAACGATCTGCATGGCGATCTTGGTGCATGCCGACATGAGCTTCTTGCCGGAGACGGTCTTGGACAAGACGCACTGAGAAAGAACTGAAATGAGACACAAGCCAGAGAAGTTGGAGTACTGAAGTGTCAGTGGTGAAGCCAAGGAGATAATAATGTAGAAGCCTGTTTTGAATACAAGCCTGATTTACACTGTCAGCATCTAAGTCTGGTTTTAGTGTTGACAAACACAGAAATAGCTGATGTGAACAGAAGCCTAGCCCTGACATCGGCTTCTACAGGAATAAGTCCGGCCATAATATGCGCCATTAGTAGTGACTTTACTCCCTCGCACCCAGACGCTGATTTTTTGGAAACAAGTTTCTATACTTCCGATGGGAGAATCCGACATGGCAGTGCATTTCGGCGTGGCCAGGTCAAATTGTAGAATATCGCACCGAGTGAATTGCTTTATCTGAGAGAGAAGATGTTCGTGCCCTTGAGACCCGAAGTCCCGTTTCCATACGACAAAATTTAGGAGCTCTGCGCTCAGCGCTTTTTCAGGGTATGAATTTCGGGTTGTTCTGGTCGGGTCGCAGCGTCGCGGACTATTCCATCGTCTTCAGCGTCGAAAAACTACTGGCCATGTGAAATTACAAGGCGGTGAGACGCTTTCGTCTTCCTCTACGAGCGAATTTGTTCTGCGCCAGCATACCTAAGTATGCAATTTCGTACGCGCAGTTCGAGTGACGAGGCGTGTGCACTGTACACTGTACTGCATGCACGGACTGTGCGGTCGTTCTCGATTCTCCCATCGCTCCCATTCATTTCTGTTTCCAGCAAAAGTCCAAGTTGGCGCACTTCAAATGACTATAACTCAAGAATGGCTGGGCCGATTCGAATAATACTTACAGATTTCCTATGTACTACGCCTGGGAGAATCGAATGGGAGCAAAATCGAAGCGATCGGAGCAAGTTTTGGAAATTGGGTGTAGTCACTACCATTAGGCCACACTTGTTTTTTTCCATGCTTCTCGCCACCGCGTGCGTAGGTTTTCTGAAATCTCGGAAAAAAAGTTCATGCTTGTACGCTGTAAATGCTGCAGCGGCTAGATGCGTCAATCAAAAATCGCAAGCTTTTGCACCACAGCAGCAAAGTAGTGCTCCCCGTGTGTTCTCGGCGATGAAGGCTGCTGCAACAAGCTTTCAGTCTTTCACTTCCTGAGCATCGCGGGTCGCAGGAATACCGCAAGTCGAAGTTTCGTGGCTATTGGCATCTGCGGAAAGAAGTCTAAGATCTTACGCGAGCAGAAAATCTAAACAATGGACACATGGCGAGGAAAGGATGAGCGGCGTGGAGACAAACTAGTGCAATCAAAAGTATTGACGAAGCGGACATAAGAACGTTGAACGAAATAGGCCGCCAAAGTCTGACGTAACAGCTTCTTGACAACGCGTAGTTACTTGGCCAAGTGGTGACAAACAAGTCGCGTCACCTGCACTTGTCGTGTTTCCAGTGCCAGCACAGCAGCATGCAGTGAACACAGCTGCAGCATCATTTTGACTGAGGAGCGCGCGAGCGTTGATTATTTATTTCTAACTGCTACTTGTCGCGGAGCTTGTAGTTTTCGCTTTATGGAGAAGGAGAAGCCGTAGCTGATTTTTTGCTTGGCCACTGCTGTGCCTGTACTGTCGTTCGGCCTTACATGTAGTCACCGACCAAGAAGCAATGATGGGTGTCTCTGTTATTTCTATCGCAGCGATTGCTGATTTATTTTAGTTCTGAGACCAACCAACTCTGGGCTCGTTTCATTGTCCAGCGGCAAGCGAAAATCAGAATTCCTTTTTCTCGGGTGCTGGTGAGCACTCAGCAGGAAAACACTCCACGATGGCTTGAGAGCGAAGGAGAAACTTTTTGAAGTAAAACAAAATTTGAACTCGCGATCTTGCACCAGCGTGCCCCAGTCAAAGTGATGCCGTGACCGTTGGAAACACGACAAGCGCAGGTGATGCGACTTTTGTTTTGTCACCGCTTCGCCTAACTACGAATTTTCAGGCAGCATGACGTAGGCACTTCGACAGCCTATAAAAAAGAAGAGTGGGAAAGCGTTTGTTGATGCAATAGCAGATACATGTATGTTCTCTTCGCCATCTCGTCATCAAATTCTATACTCCATTATTGTTGCACTTTGCCTATCACTTCGAACTACTCGTGGGCTGGTGTGATAATGTAGTACAATCATGTGCATGCTATGGGACGAGTACTGTACACGCAGTGTCTTGTAGGAATCACACACACGAAAAAAATGTATACAGTTTTCAGTAGAAATTGTTCTTGTTTTTTCTATCCTGTTTTTTCCGCCCGCCCGCATACCTTTTGTTAAAATTTGCCTACGAGAAAAGATAGGGTTAAGGTGCGTTCTTATATTCTCTAGTTTCTCGGAGAAGAAGAAAAGAGAAGTCGAAGAAACTGATAAAATTCGAAACGCGTCTCGAAGAATTCGGAGATATTTTGCACATGTCAAGCAATAAGAAGCGCCAAAGGGGCTGAATGTAGTACGCACATGTGCGTGTGCGAAAAGGCAAATGCGCACATCCATGGTGAACACGTGACTCTTAGCCGTAGTTCGCATGCACTGATCCCAAACCGCAGGGATCTCCAAGTTTCAACCACCTCTGAAGCTTGGAGAGCTTCCTAAAAGTCGGAGAGGATATAACAACAGCGCTCGAACCTTGGAGATTTAAGAACGCACCCTTACCCTAATGATGCCGGCTGCCAATCAAACGTTGAATGAAGGGCAATAACAGAAAAGACGCACGAAGCCAATCTCTCGCTCGTTAAAAAGCTTCCAGTGGGACAATGGTGAGCTGGTATGTGGCAATGGGCTAAACTCGCACGAAAGACGAACACAATATCACGTTGAGCACTGGGCTCCACGACCAAGCCCAAGGTGAGATTAGCCAATTCACACGTGCACAAGTTTATAATTATGGTGTACTCCTCCTCACCTGGTATTGGTCCACAATACGTTAGCTTCTTGATGGTGTCATAGCGCTGCTTCTGGTTGTTGGGCAACATGCAGCACACCTGCACACGACAAAGACCAGGGCAAGACGGACAGGCACAAGAACACAGACGTGCTACTTGCACAAAGACAAATCCACACAAAAAGCGGGGCTCCTCAAAGCAGCTTTAGAGAAAGGAGGAAACAACTGGCAGCAAGAAAATATACTGCGAAACATGTAATTTTCGGTGTTACTTAAATCAGTGATTTTGGTAGAGAAAGACAGGCACCTAAACTAAAAATACACCTAAAGGCACTAGAGCATGCACTGTCATGTGAAGGGAACGCTGGTCACCTAATTCTACATTACACCTGAAACCTGGCAGTTCCCTGGCACCAACATTTTAACCCTTGGAAGCCCAAGGGCGAGTATACTCGTCCATACAGTCTATTCAGAAATAGATTAGCGCTGGCCCCGGAGAGTTCCAGTGTTTGGTGATTTCGCCAGTGGCGCGAGATTCGAAACTTGAAAAGGGTCCAAAAAGGTACCTCAATTGGGGTTTGAACCGCAAATGTACTGTTCTGCAAGTGGAGTGCACGGGTTGGATTTTTATGGCTGTTCCCCAATTCAGTGCTTTGGGGGCAAAACCTGGCCGAAATCCTATTCTTGTTATGGCTTGCTTTTTTGGAGAAATAGACTTCAAAAACACAATTGGAAGAACATTCCATGGGGGATTGCCAAAAAAATTGAGACCAAAAACTCAAAATTTGACCCATTCATGGCCAAAAGCTAGGTTATCATCTTTTTTCTGAATGGACTGTAGTGATTTCCCAAGGACGAGTAACTCGTCTAAACACGCACTGTGTACGCATTGAGCATAGATCACAGTACAAATCTTCGTATCTGCTTAGTCTTTTCTTTGATTTTTACAAAACGATAGCTTGTTGGAAAGGTAAGGAAAAAGACCTTTCCAGCGGTGTGTCATTTGTGGCAGCGCGATGCGAAATACCCAAGCGGCTTAGACCGGAACGCTGTTGCATACTTCTGAACTTGAGAATTTTGAAATTTTCAAGTAGGGCTCGCGTGCGCACGGGGTTTCCACAGTGCAGCCCATGCGAGATGGGTACCAAGAGTCAAGATGACCGCTTGAGCTTCAGCAGCACGAAGAACTTTTTTGAATCGTTGTTTAGTGTTGAGTAAAAGGCGAAGCGAAGGAAATTGTTGCTGTGGGTGGTGTATCTCCTTCAGGCGCAACAGAGCTGCACTCAAGAGACTTGGAGGAGCTTCTGTTGCTTCTGCTTAGTTTCTAAGTCTTTATCTTTGGATTGAGGAGATCACAAGCTTTTCAGGAAGCTCCAGATCATGAAATTCCATTGCTGGTGAGCGAATTGTGAAATCGACCATCTGTGGTTGCGTGCTGTGCTGTGCGAATGCCTGGGAAATCAGAAAACCCAGCCATCTAATGTATGTAAGGGGCTATCGCAGCCAAAGAAGCAACCATGGTATGAAATCTAGCCAACTTTTGTATATGCAAGGTGTGTTTTCCTGACTACATATGTATCACTGCACTGCACTCACATGGATATTGGGACAGTATGCAGTAGTATATGAAGGCCATACGCGCCAATTGTGCATATTTCTGACCAACCAGGGTATCACAAACAAATAGAATTAGTTTGTGCTCATATACTGGGAACATGGGGACAAAACAAGCGCTGTCTCAGTGCATGAAGAGCAACAACATACCAGGGATATGGTCATATTGTCACATATTTGAGATAAACAATTGCCTCCCTCTCGCTCCTGTTTCGAGAGCGAATACTGCGATGGGATCAGCGATGATATAAATTTTCAATTTCGAGTCGCATTCCGCGATGAAATGCCACACTCTCCAATCAATCGTCCACCACATCTAGCAGACGTCGACATGACCGAGAACAAGCTACATCTTCGCTACAAGCAGAGAAACTGAGCGAGAACACGATCGAAACAGCGACAATTGTTTGCGCTGAAAAGCATACTTGTTCTCGGTACTTTCAAATGGCAACCTACCCATATCATACATCAAAATTTTCAGTGGGATCTCAGCTGTCCAGCGCAAAAAAAACCCGCGGGTCGATCGGAGCTACGGCGGCGGGGAACGGCGCGCTTGATTGGAGTGCAGCGAACCGTACCATGTTACGGTTCGAGATGGGGCTGGTAAAAGGGTTAATGCACCTAAAATTACATGTTTTACAGGAACACCATAGGAGCACATGAACTGTGTTATGGGGTCATTTGACGGCAAAAACTCACAGCCTTGGTGTTCATGCTGTATGCTCCCAAAATTGTTAGCGAGCAGTGGAGTAGTAACAGAAACCTACTCAGCTTATGCCAGTAGTGAACAGGAGCATCCAGCGATATGATGGTCATAGACCGTCACCACATGCAGAGCTGCATACTTTTGTTGTTAGCAAAACACTACACCAATACTGTACACAGCAGGCGTGGGAAGACTACTGACATGGAGACCAGAAAGCAAATAAATAAAAGAGGAATTGCCTCACCCCAGCTCAGCTAAGGTCAGACTGTATGTCCTAAAGTGAGCTGCACAATCTCTTCTCCGCTGCACTAAATACTCGAGGCACCAGATCCACTTACCAGCTGGTAATTTTTTTTAGGCAGCTCGTGGGCAATTACTTCCTGATATCTGCCAGGGCTGTCTCTGTCCAAGCGGAGAACGTTTGCACTAATAATGTTGAGTCCCATGGGCGGGCCAACCTTCATCAATGTGGTGTGGAAGTCCTGCGCTTGTGGAAGTACACGCTCTGGGAAAAGAAAGAGCCAGGTCTGCAAACAGAAAAAGAGAGCACATTTTTTTAAAGAATCCAGTAGGGCACCGATTGTGGTGGTAGTATTAATAGCTGCGACACGCTCCTGGAAATGAGAGGGACATCGGTGGTCTACCTTAGGGTTGGTTCACATATCGCCGGTACGCGCCGGAAGTCACCGGCGGTGGGCCTCTTGCAACCTCTCCCGGCCCATTGCGATTTTGTGAACCAGTTCAGTCGTAACAAAATCATACAGTAAATAATCGCAAGGGACCGCCGGCAAAGTTGGGCACTAAAGTCGGACAACTCCTGCGATCTGCCCTGATCCTGTAGAATTTTGACCAAAAGCGGTTTGTGAACCGCTCGCGCCTGTGATCGCCATTGCCCAATCTATGATGACAATGACTTTCACAAGAGAGCCAAGTTCAAGCTAGCTTCAGCGGGCAAGGGGAGCATTTCTCAGGTCTGGTGCATACCAGCTAAATCCGGGCTAAACATACCATGTACCATGTGCCATGTATACGACCGTCGGAAGAGAAAGCACGCAAATCTGCAAATGCACTGCATGTACACCCACAGATTTTCTCTTTATAGCAACGAAAGCGGATCTTATTCTGAATGAAACAGATCATAACTCTATAATCCACACACACATACACGCGCGCGCACACACACACACCGGCACCTAGCAGCATACATTGTAAGTATCTTACATGCAAGCCGTTTTGTGGCAGGCGAGGAAGCGGCATGCTTCGCATGGCTGCAGTCCAGTCAGGGTTGTCAGGGTTGGATTTGAGCTACATACACCGCATCACAGATAAACACATCAAAGGAACAGGAAATGCAGTGAAATGCAGTGTCAGCATCTACTCTTAGCGCAAATACAGTGAAACCTGTCTAAGGCGACCCCTCAAGGGACGAGAAAAAATGGTCGCCGTGGCCAGGTGGTCTTCTTATCCAGGTTCAGTGGGTCACGTGACCATATCCACATGATCATTTTGATCAGTGTATCACAGTGCACACGCCTATGCTACTCTAGCACGACTCATGTACATGGGGTCCCCAGACCTGTCAAGTGCCGTGCATGCACCATGCACATCTACACTTCCTGCACTGATGTGTAGATCTACCATGCATGGTGCAACATGCAATGCGTACATTTACATGTACTAGCACTGTGCAACGCAGTCGCGTGGTCGTCGGTCGCGTTGAGCGGTTGCCTTATCAAAGCTGTTTTGAATGTGAATGCGTCCGTGATAAGGAAATGTGGTCGCCATGGTCGAGTGGTCGCCATTACAGATTTTACTGAAGATCACACAAGCCGGTAGGGAGGATAGTGCCAGTTATCTGTAAACTATTGATCGGCCCACACCGGGTGAATGCGACCGCAAACACAAGCAACAAACACACGACACAGTTTCGACACAGGACAGGGTTGATTCTGGCACGCTGTATATTTTTCTAATTCTTATTATGATTAGCATGCAATTAGCATGCAATGTATTAACCGAAAGCCTTTGACACTGTTTGGCATAGAGGCCTGATTGCCAAGTTGGGTGCCTATGGCATTGGTGGCAACCTGCTTTGTTTCTTTGAAAGCTACCTAACTGACAGGCTACAGGCTGTACGCGTCGGCAACACCCTCTCGTCTCCCCAGGGAATTAATTCTGGTGTGCCACAGGGGTCAATCCTGGGGCCACTATTCTTTTTAGTCTACGTCAATGATCTACCGATGTCTGTCCCTAATGTTTCACTGTTCGCCGATGACACCACAGTTTCCGCTTCAAGTAGTTGCAAGCAATTGCTAGTCAATGACCTCCAGAAAAAGATAAACTCCACCATTTCTTGGATGTCGACTTGGAAGCTGAGACCGAACACTAGTAAGACCAAAGTGATGTTCTTCTGTAGCGGTGCTAGTGATCAGTTCTGCAATGTGTCTTTATCATGTCCTGGCAGCTCATCGACCATAGAAATTGTCCATGAACATAAGCACCTTGGTATAATTATTGACGACTGTCTAACATGGGCTCCTCATGTAGACTATATTTGCAAGAAAACTAGTAGTGTTCTCGGCATACTATATCCTCATCGTTCTCATTTGCCAAATACATGCCGTTCTATGTTTTATCGCTCGTATCTATTACCTATTTTCCAGTATGCATGTCAGTCTTGGTGTAGTCTAAGTCAACATCTTGTGAACAAACTTGAAATCCAACATAAATCTCTTCTTAAAATATTGTTTAACCCTTTGTGTACCAGGCATCTAATGTATGCGCGGGGTACTCGTCGGTAATGATGGACCTATAGCATAAAACTAAGACACATTTTGTATGTGCAAGTTATGTTTTTCTGAATCTGTTGGTATCAATGTGTCCAGGTAAGAAAATATTTTGACCGAGCACACAACTACAGATACAGGCCATACCTGGAATACCTATTTCTGAATCAATTGTCCATATTCCTGACAATTTAGATCCGTGTACTTGGAATCGTGAATATACTTGCTGACATTGCCCTTCTTCACACAGAGCAACAGGAAACCACTGCACTAGTGTATAGCCGCCAGTTGCATGCTTCAACAATAGCGAAATGGACGGAAAGAGCCATATTGCGTGAATACCAGATGCCAAACAATTGCATCAAAATTTCAAATTATTGAAATTGTGTCAGATTTGAATATGTACTTTTCACTTATCTACTTGCGTCCAGCGGGGGTATTGGCGATTGAGAAGACCAGGAATAGTCGATGGGTGAGGAAATCCACCTGCCTTGATTATTTCAGGCCATCGCTGCGCTCCCTCTCGCTGCTGCTTGGAGAGCGAATACTGCAATGGCTTCAGCGATGGAAATTCTCATTTTCGATTCAGATCCTGAGATTATATCGCTACTACAACTCTCTCCTGGCGTTCACCATCACTAGTAGACATCGACAACAGCTAGAGCAAGCTATATTCCAGATACAAGCAGCGTAACCGAACGAAAACACGATCGAAATTGCTAAAATATATCGCAGAGCGCTGAAATTGCAAAGCGCACTTTTCGCCGCGATCGTTCTCCATACTTTCAAATGGCAACCTACCCACATCATACATCAAAATTTGCAGTGGGATCTCAGCTGCCCAGCGCAAAAAACCGCGAGTCGATCGGAGCAAGGACGCCGCCGAACGGCGCGGCGCAGTGCGTCGAACCGTAACGTACGTTACGGTTCGAGATGGGGCTGGTACACAAAGGGTTAACAAGCAGCGTTTATTTCCTAGTCTTGAGCTCTATTGTATCAGCAATACTCAGCCACTGCAAGATAATCGCAAACAGCAGCTTTGCGTTTTGATCCACAGAATTCGCCTAGGTAAAATTCCCATTCATCTCTCCGTATTCAATTGGTTTTCTCTGTCCCGGTCCACTCGTAATAGTCTCTCACTTCCCTGTGCTAATTCAGCCGCATTTACCAACTCTCCTCTGTTTTTGTCCTACAGCCTTTGGCCGCAACTTCCCCAGCATGTTAAGACATCAAAATGTCTTTCCAGCTTTAAAAATGCACTCCGATCGCATAATGTAGTACGATAGGATCTCATTGCTGGATTCTTGTCTATCCTTCTTTCTTCTCTTTTTCTATATTCCTTTCTTTTCTTTTCTTGCCGTGGTTGGCTATCACCCCTCTCTCGCACTTTGCGTGCCAATTGGTCAAGTGCCAATTGAACCACGAGTTGAGTGAAATAAATAAATAAATAAAACCGAAGTACTGAATTTACTTCTTTTGTACTCTATATTCTATATTCATACTCAGGAGACTGCCTTCGATAGGCATCTATTTGCCTCTGGAGGATCCGTGAAATAAAAATCAATCAATATGAATGCAGAGAAGAACCTCCCCTCAAAGCATGGCAAAGTGCAATGAAGCACTATTATACGTACCTCAGCACCACGGATCTGCAATTAGATGTAGCCGCCACATTCATTCCGTCCGGGGCACATTGCAGAGAGAGAGAGAGAGAGAGAGAGAGAGAGAGAGAGAGAGAGAGAGAGAGAGAGAGAGAGAGAGAGAGAGAGAGAGAGAGAGAGAGAGAGAGAGAGAGAGAGAGAGAGAGAGAGAGAGAGAGAGAGAGAGAGAGAGAGAGAGAGAGAGAGAGAGAGAGAGAGAGAGAGAGAGAGAGAGACAAAGAGAGAGAGAGACAGAGACAAAGAGAGAGAGAGACAGAGACAAAGAGAGAGGAAGAGACAAAGAGAGAGAGGAAGAGACAAAGAGAGAGAGGAAGAGACAAAGAGAGAGAGGAAGAGACAAAGAGAGAGGAAGAGACAAAGAGAGAGGAAGAGACAAAGAGGAAGAGAGAGAGAGAGGAAACAGAGTGAGTACAGAACACTGATGAACTAGGCACACCAGTGGAATGACCATTATACTCGCACTATACACAGGCAATAAAACAAAGTCTACCGTATCGTATTAAAGCCGGCCTCATATATAGAAGCCTGTTTTGAATACAAGCCTGATTTTCAAGATTCAAGATTCACTGTTGGCATAAAAGGCTGGTTTAAGTGTCGACACAAATAGAAAATGTCTACGCGTGTTAGAAAAATTGAATAGAAGCCTGATGTGAATAAAAGAATAGCCCTGGCATCAAAGAAGCTACAGGAAGAAGCCCGGCTTTAATACGGTATATCACGGTGTGTTTCCAGTCACAAACAGAACGCACTATAAGTAGGGTTCGGACGCACCGTTTATCTTCAAGCACAAGCACAGGTAATTATTACCCAGACCCTGTGATTTGAGGCGAGCGATCGCTCTCGCGCGCCATCGCGCGCCTTATTTTCTTGGAAGGTGCACTTTTTGTCGCGCGCCTGAAACTATTTTTGGCTGCATGTACGCTTTTCGGAGTGCAGCGCAACTACTACTGTACTATGACTAGTACGAGTGTATGGTGTCAAGTGCACTCATCGATCCGTGCGCAGGCCGGAACTGTGCCCGCTCGCGCTGTTATGAAACAGACTAGACAGTGAGTTAGTCATGTGTAGTGACATGCACAGTAGTCAGTACTGAGTAGGCAAGTAAGTTAGTTCACTGCACGTACACTGTGAGTGTGACACAGGCACTGCACTGGCATGGCGCCCAGCTAGCCTGGCATGACCTCGGGGCATTTCACACGTCTGGATGAATGATTGCGGCTTGAACTAGTCAGAGCTAGCTGTGCCGCGTAGATCTACCACCACTCATGAAACACTCCAGTTCAACGGGTTTTACGGACCCCTGCATGCAGCGCAGGGGTCCGTACAACCCTCTGAACTAGCGCCTGGCGGGTCCGAGTAGCAAGATAGACCGCAGTCTGACATAGACTAGTAGTTCTGCTAGTTCTGCTAGTGCATGCGTTGCAAGTAAATGCACCCAAATGGCGCTTTTGTCCTCTTACTCTTAGAATAAAAGGCCAATTGGTCAACTGGAGTTGATCATACCAGTTGTTTTCTTTCCTTGCGACATGATCCCTTGCTGGTGATCTCCTGCTGCTGCTAGCAGTAGAAATGTCGAAAGGGAACAGTGTGCAGTTGTCCACTTTCCCCAGCTGGAAAGTAGATGAGGACATAGGCTTCAACTCGGTGAAGAAGGAAGGTAAAGAGCTGGTCGTGAAAGTGTGGTGCAAGTCGTGTGCGAAGTATTCTGACGTTATCCGGAGCGACTCTATGGCTGAGAGGTCAAGCGAAGGTCGATGCGTTGAGGTTTGTGGAGTGATCGGACTACGTGACGAAGCACGCTGTCACTCGACATTAAATTTTGTCTGGACAGGTAAGTGGTCAATTCAATGTCGAAAGTAAAGTCGATCGGACTCGCGACCATTCTCCTTGTTTTCTTCGCTTGTTGTCATGTAGGCGCATAGCATCGGAGTGAGCCATGCGAAGCTATTGGGTGACACCGACAAATCATCGTCGACGTCTGCATCAGGGAGCAAGGCAACACAAGCGCCTCAGCAGCCACGCATCCACACAGCTATTCTAGTCCAAGCGGAGGACGCATACGAAAAGCTCTTCCACACTGCATATTTTGATGGCAGTTCACGGCCAACCGCTGTCATCTTTCAAGACAATGGTGGAAATTCAGAAAGCATCCAGAATTTTTTCTCTAAAAAAATGATATCAATAATGTGCTGTGTTGTTGGAGTGAGAATTTTTGGATCACTCTCCTACAGCTCGCCTAACACAGGCGAGGAGAGCGATAGATCACTCGCCACCTATTTTCAAATCACATGGTCTGATTACCGTAACCTTTTTCCAGCCCAGCCTGAAATCTATACAGTCGACCTACCCGTAGACCAAGACATATTGTTATAAGAGTAATATTGTTATAGGGGTAAGGGCGCGTTCAAACTACCGATAAAAAGTGACCGATTGGGAAAGTCGCCAAGGTGATTTGATCACGTGACGTTCCTGGCACGTTACCGGTGAGAAAGTTTTACTGCCGCGGCTGCTGCGGCAGTAAACTTTTACCGGCAGTAAAAAAGTGCTCAGGCTGCATGCGCGCTGCGAAAAAAAGGGAAAATCCATTGTCAGTGCCGCGGTGAGAGCTGAAAACTTCACGGTAACGTTTGTTAGTGTGAATGTCCTTCACGGTTTATCGGCATTCACGGTTTGACGGGGTTCACGGTAGTCTGAACGCGCCCTAACTGGTTCATTTCATACACATACGTCATAATGCATGGATTTTCTCCATTTTTTACACTCTTCATAGCATAAAAACTGACGTACATGCATATTATGTACACAGCAAGGTGCCCACTGGTGCCCCCATTGCATTTCGTCATTTCCCAGAAACTTATCAAGTGAAGCTTGCCCTGCCTGGATAGTGGGCTGTACAATATTCCCTGCTAGACATTGTTATAAAATGGAAAATGTTGATTGGTCAGCCCATTGAATATCGTTATAGGGGTAATATCGTTATAGCAATATTGTTATAGAGGTAAAGCATTGTATACACAAGTCAATGAATGGAGTGATTAGGTTTGGCAGAAAAATATTGTTTTAAGGGCAATATCGTTTTAAGGGTAATATCGTTTTAAGGGTTATCGTTATAAGGGTAGGTCGACTGAATGTGAACAGAGTTTCTTCTTCACCGACACCGTTCTTGTTTTGACACCACAGCAATGTTCTCGACATTTCCGTATTTTACGCAATTTAGATGAACTTACGTGTCATATAGCACTTTGTTCCTCTTTTGGGACCTATATCAAGTTGGTCAGCGTGATGATCATAGCATTTTTAGCATTTTCTTCAGAGCCTCAGATGAAAGGCCCTGTAGCCCTCAATGGGCTAAGCCTCATGTAGACAGGCTCCTGGAAAATTTTCAATCAAGCGCACGCTCATCTGAAAGTCAGCGGTTGAACCCACAAATCTGAAATCTGAGGACGATACGCAGAGCAACTGAGACAAGCAGGCAGCCGTATGAATTGCTCTCACCTTCTTCTCGTAGTCCACGTTCTGGAACATTACAACCGGTCTAAGGCGCCGAGCCGTAGGCTTCACAAACTGCTCTGTGACCCTGATGGCCCAGTTGTCGAAGCGATGGCAATCCTGCTTCTTGCTGCAAACAAACAAAGCATACCAAATAATATCGAACATTGACTGAGAACGGGCAGAGTAACTGATAACAATGGTGTCTTTAATCAGTGCATCCAGATATAGGCAGGAAACTCTCAAACAAGGACAATGCAATGTGCAGAAGTCACAGCAATCTGTCAGCACCACCAGCAGCTGTTCAAGAGACAGTGTTCCTACCCCTCCCCTTACTTCATGTCGTGAGGGTACTCCAACGTGAGGCGGGCACGGTCGTTGGGTCCGACACGAGTCACCCTACCAAGTTCCTTCATGAAGTTAAAGTCGGCACGCTGGCGCTCAGTGATACCTACAAACACAGACACGTACAAACCAATACATGAACACATCATTGCATGCACGTCGAGGAGCACGCCAGCTTCGAAAAGATACATCTGGCTGACCTCTCCAGCCTCCGAATGTTCATGAGGAAACAGGTACTAAACGTAGCAGTGTGTGGCATAAACATAGGAGCTGGAAGGCTTTCACTGAACTTCTAGTGGCATGCACTGAGCGATCACCTGACCAGACAGCACCTCGATCTCCTGTAATTGGGTGTAAAGTGGCTCCATGCATTTGTGATAGGATTTGAATTGTGCAGAAAGTGACCATAGCATGGAGTAGACATAGCCCGATTTTGCTAGCAATTTTGCCAGCAAAATATCGGTGTATGTTAGCTGGAAATTGGGAGACTTCACACTTATACAGTGCATGGGACTCATTTTCGCACTTTTCGCCAACACGTGACTCACTTTTTCTCTTTTTGCCACAATGCGACCAACTTTTGGTCAGTTTTTCCATACGTGACACAAATTTGGCCTCACATTGGAACGAAAAGGGAGCAACATATCGAGTGGCCTGGCAAAATTTTGCGGCAAAATATCGACAAGGCCAGGAAAATGTTGCGGCAAAATATCAAGGCTTCACCGGCAAAATCGGGCTTTGTCTAGCATGGAGGCAGTGGAATCAACATGGACGACACGTGACCCGTACATGAAGGGTTGACTTGAGTTGGAATCCACATGGACATCATGGCCATCATGTTCAAGCATGGTCATGTGTTAGATGTGAAACCAATCAATACCGCTCTGCACTCTGGCGGGGAGGGAGGGCCCTTTCGAGCTGCACCGATTTGCCTGTTAGTATATTGTGAAGGCGGAGAGGGAGGGGAACAAGGGAACATACCACTCGGTGTGGCGACAATTTCAAGTATGCAGTGCACACTGGAAATGTGTAGCATACAGATTCCAGTTGCATACCACCACGTTACTGAAGAGCAGCTAGGGTTAGGTGCACATACCAAGTTCTACTACAATGTGTAATTGATTCAGGAATGTACTGTCCACCCCAGGTCACGCGGTGCTTAGCCTTGAGACATTACACTTCTTGGTTTCATGAGAGTCAATAGACATAGTATGCCACCATGAGAAGTAAAAGGCCACACACAGGACCAATCCCGCCCTAAGCGCTACTTCATCATTTACCCTCTCAGTGCCACGGGCGACTTTAGTCGCCCAGAATGAGTTTGTGTGTACGAATAATTTTATATCTCCAGTTTTACACACAGGAGAGTTACAAAACAACCACTCTACGTGTTCAGGAAGACCTTGGCTATCGACTCATCACATCGTTTTGTGTCCGTGAGGATAGGTGTCGCCAGGGCGAAGCCTGAAGCGCGTGCGCTCGAACAAATTGTCCAATTGTCGCGAGTAAAAAACAGGACGTATGGGCATCGCAGGTTTCTCTATTTCTTTCGCGGCGACTCATGCATATTGAGTATGAAAAACATCGATAGCTTTCAGGCCAACTTTGTTCGAATTTCGTGCGTTGAAAGTTGACTGCACTGCGATCGATCGCGTTTGAGAAAGCGCAAATGCTACGAAAATGCAGAAAACGGACTTCGCTCAGGCGCCCTCGCGAGGAAGACTATTTTCGCTGCATTTACTCTTCAGTTGTCTGCCCGGCCATCGTTTGTAAGACCGAGCTATGAAAAATTCGAGTTCGGCTCCACTCAGAAGAATTTGTGATCATTTGTCTGACCACCTTGGCACTGAAAGGGTTAAACTATCGACGCAGCACAGACATGACTGCTTGCAGTTCTGCTGGTGCATACGGCCACTACTAAGACCTTAGGGACGCAGGCCAAGCAACAACAACCACCCGACTCCAGAAAAGGACAGGAACCCAAGAGGCCCAGCATAGCACGTCGGTGGGAGCAGCAAGAGAACACTGGCGCATGTCCCCGTTCAAAAGCCGACCGGACTCTGGCTTACGAAAGTACATAAGCATCAACAAAGCATGCGTTGGTAGGTCTTTACAGCATACACTAGTCCCAATGCGAACTTAGAATGCGAGCTTCATGTAGTCCCAATGGTTTAAAAAATTACAAATCACTCTCATTGGCAGCGGCACCAGCAGCCAGTGCAAACTACACAACTGGATAAGAAGCCGACTTACCGGTCAACCTGCACAGCTCTGGCACCAAGTAGAGGAGCTTCTGAGCCTCATGCACTGCTTCGGCATTGTTGGCAGGGATTGGTCCCTTCTTCTTGTTGCAAGAGATCAACATAGGCTGCCCGTGATCGTGGATGCTTACCGTGTACTTCTGTTCATAGTACTCTAGATACGTCGTTTCATACTCCTGAAACACGCCGTCGATCTTGCGACCAGCCGTGAACCTGCAACAAGGGTTGCTGTTCCAGTCAATGTCATCTATGCGGTAGGTCTTGTTATTGTACCTGTGAATAGTGTGTGTGCGTGTGTGTGCGTGTGTGTGTAAAACTTTCAAAATCAATAAAACATTTACACAAGTGCCAGCTAGCTAACCCTATAACCATATTAACCCTTTAAGAGCCGCCCCATACTTGAATGCGTCGTAAACGACGCATTCAAATGCAAAACTTCAAAAGATCGTAACTCAGTCCAATCTCGCTCAAATCCAGTGATCGAAATATCCAGGGCGAAGAGAAAACTCTCACCTGTCGGGAGCAACAATCCGCGAGGCGCTGCGAGCAACGGTTCCTGAGATAAATCACTCGTAAGTTGAGCCACGATCGCGGCAATTTCAAAAGCGCGCAGTGCGACTTTAGTATTGAGAATTTTGAGACTTTTCGTCACGCTGATGTACTCGAATTTGCATGGGTTTCACTGTTGATATTGTCAAGAGTACACAGCGAAAAAATAGGAACTCCACGATCGAGTAAAATGAAATATCTGGAGCGGGACGCAATTGGACCCATTTGGGGCATTTTTCGTACTGTCGCTGCGATCTAGCGCTGGATAGACGGTGTGCTGGCTATCATGATCGACCTTATTCTCTTCCTCTCGCGGAGACCTTTCCAGGAAGCCCTAGATTATGAGGATTGAGTGAGTAGAACTGGAGCTATGATCCAAGGAACACGAAAAAATGCAGAATTTTGAAATTTTCCTGTGGCTCTTAAAGGGTTAAGGCCCATGTGACGGATCAATCTCTCATGCATGAACAGGTGCACTTGAAATCACCAAGTATCATAAGTCCAATCATTGATCAAATTCAGTAATTAGTCTATCGACAAATGAACTCCCAGCTGCAGCTGCTCAGGTTTAATAAAACCAGCCAACGGACAACAATGTTATGGCCAGAAATGTACCTGTGCGTTCTGATGTATACTGCTCAAAACAATACAAGGTAAAACAGATAAAGAAATGAGGATGAGTGAGCAAAGAATTAGCAACACCTCCTCTTACGTCGCAAAGTTATAACCAAAGCTTCAAGGTCAGACATATCAAGTTCAACACAATAGACTACTAGATTCCTAAAGGTGCAAACATTTAACTTACGGCGTCATAACGACTTCACCGATCAACAACTTCTCAACATTCTCCTTCACATTTTTTCCACTGTGCGTTACCTCCTGGATGACATTATAGGGGCTCTCGTCGCGGGTGATCTTGTGGGCTATGTCAACGTTGAGCATGACACCACCCATACATTCGCTGATGGCCGTCACGTACCCTGGCCACACATTGATCCTGCACCAACGAATGCACACACACACACACACACACACACACACACACACACACACACACCCCAGAAGCAATACATATACATTGTGCATGAACCTCTAATATAACAGATAAACCAGACCCGCCGAGGCCACTGAATTGCAACTCTTTGTCCGCGTTACAGCCTAATGCAAGGAACAATTAGTGTAAGGTGACGAAAAAGGTTGCGCTTATTCACGTAGAAGCCGATGTCAGTGTTAAGTCTCCACACAAATCAGATACATGCACATGTACTATACAACATGTAACTTTCACGGCATTAAAATTCCGATGCCAGCGACCTGACAGGGTCCAGGTGTAACTGAAATTTAGGTGACCAACTTTCCATTCACACACAGTGCATACTCTAGTGCCATGAAGGTGTAATCACAATTTAGTTACTGAAAGGTAAGTTACGGGTAAAGAAACGTTGCGGTATTCATACTATTCGAGACAAGCTTTTATACAAGACGGTATGGTAGAGAAGATTCACCACAGGAGTATTCTGTCATCATGATTCAAACATCTTAGTAATGCGAAAAAGAGCCTCGCTCAACGGACTAGGACTCTAAATCAGTGCATTCCATAGTCTCACGCGTACCCCGCCAATCCTTGCACAGGGTGGACATGATCAGGCTGGAAGTAATGGCGACCGATAAGGACCATGCCACACTTCTTCATGTACCTGTGCATAGAAACACAAATGAACAACGAGGTCACACAGAGCAGAGAATTTTTTCAACGAACAAATCCTGCCCAATACCGTATTTCCTTTAACAGCCGCCGCGGCCTGTATTCAAAACTAGCTAAACGGGTGCGGCCCTGAAAATAGTTGTACGTCACAATGTACGTGCTGTATGCGTAGAGTTCACATACGATGTGCACTGTTGAACCTTTGCTGGCCAGCTACACTGCATAGGCTAGTGCATCTTCATTTCTTTTCCAGTTGCACTGGAAAGAATATCATGGCGAAGGAGCTCGAGGCTCAACTAGCAAGTTAGTTGCATGTTCAGCAGCAGCAGTCCCTCGTCTGTCCCTCCAGGAACTTGCGATTCCGCGGCCGCGTTGTTTTCCGCGATTTGAACAAAAGTCCGTGATATCCGCGATATTTGAAAAATCATCCGCGTTATTGTAGAAAACTGTCCTTGATACTTGAAAAGCACCGCGATATTTCGAAAAGCAACCGCGATATTCGGGTCTTTCTTCGATGTTGTTTAGTCCTTCAAGCTCATCAGTAGTTTACTTGTGAGATCGACACCCGAATGGAGAAGTTTCTGGGCAAATCAGCGGCTGACAAGTCACAAAATAAGGCTCGCGTCGAGTGTTGTCCGAGGATGGAGGAAAGCTGTCTTGCAGTTGAACAGTCAGCGCAGCACACGTACGTTCTGTTTTCTCATGTATGATTTATGCTGTACGACCCGTACATCGTACACCACTACAGTACAAGTACCAAATCGGCCGCAATTTCCGCAATTTTACCACAATAATCCCGCAATATTTGACAAAATCCGCAATATTGCCCGCAATTTGTGGCATTTTACCTCGCAACTTTTTCCGCGATATTTCCGAAATGTCTCCGCAAGTTTCTGGAGGGACAGCCTCGTGGCGGAAACTCCAAGCTTTCCAACGCAACAATCGCAGAAGAGCTACGATGTCCGAATCCAGTGATATCACGCGTCGTATTATTATCTCGGCAAATTCAAATTTTTATCGATCTCTTCGGCGGGGAGTCCGTCATTTTAGAGGAAATCCCTTTTCGTGTGCTCTTTGACCAACTGAGCACATGATTATGACGTGGTTGGCTGAAGTTCGAATCGCCTCGGAACATTTGAGCGTTCTGCATGTTGAAGGTGAAAATTGAAACTACAAATTCTGCTTCATTCTGTGCTGGAAATCAGTACATAAAGGGTAGTACTGTTAGGCCCACAAGTAATTACAATATATTAATTCATAATTATAATTCATTAGTTCATGCATTATTCATTTGGCCTGGGTAGCTACTTGCGCGTCCATGTTTGCCATAGCTACCCAGGCCCTTTATATTGCGTTGCCTCTCTCTCAACTGTCTCTCGAACCATTGAAGATCTGCTCGGCTGTTGTTTGAATTGTTTGAATTCAACATTGGCGCCAAACGTGGGGCTCGAACCCACGACCCTGAGTCTCATGCTCTACAAAAGGGCTAATTCTTTTTTTTACACATACGCTACAGGACATACTCCGGCATACATTGGCTGTTGGTAACCACCCAGGAGAATGAAAGAAGAGCTAGGAGAATGAGAAAGAGAAGAAAGACGTGTGCGACCATAATCGTCGGGAATTGAACCCGCAACCCCTCGATTGGAAATCGACTGCACATGACACTGCACCATATGGACACACACGGACACGCGCACACGCACCAAACACATATACGTTTAACAAAACAAAAAACAAAGCGACTTACGATTTCAGCAGGATGTTCATCGCCTGCAGGATGGTTGGAGATCCCCACGGGACATCATGGTTGTATTCGAAGATGACCTCTACATCCTCGGGTGGGATGGAGCCGTCCCTGGAACCGTTAGTGCGGGCATAGAAGGTGGTTACACTGTCTGCCAGTTTTCCGAGCAAGAACGCCTGCGCGCCGTCAAAGGCCATCTTTCCCACGGCAGCGGTGATCTCTGGGGAGTTGTGGATAACGGCGGTCAATACGGACGGGGCCAGGTTGGGATGACTGGTGACCCGGTAGTTATACACGCACTTATGGCATGGGCCATTCCTGCCGAGTACGAGCAAGAACGAGTTGGTAACAATGGGCACGAGGATAGAGTTATTGAGCGTGCCCATGCGACTCGCCGGCGCCTGTTTGCATTGTGGCGCAAAGTCCTGGGCTTCGGGTAAGTGTTGGACGCCACGCCTTGGTCGTGCAGCTGCTCCTTGCCCGGGAAAGGCGGCTGCTGCCGATGCTGCTCCTGCCGAAGCTCCTGCCGAAGCTCCTGCCGAAGCTCCTGCCGAAGCTCCTGCCGAAGCTCCCGATATGGCTGCGCCTGCGAACTGTTGAGCAACAGCGGCTACTGGGTCTGCAGGGGATACTGCTACACCTGCTGCCGGTGCTGCTGCTGCTGCAGCTGCTGCCGGTGCACGTGCTGCTGCCGGTGCTGGTGCACGTGCTGCTGCCGGTGCTGCTGCCCATGCTCCTGTCGGTGCTGGTGCACGTGCTGCTGCCGGTGCTGCTGCCGGTGCTGCTGCCCGTGCTGCTGCCGGTGCTGCTGCCCATGCTCCTGTCGGTGCACGTGCTGCTGCCGGTGCTGGTGCACGTGCTGCTGCCGGTGCTGGTGCACGTGCTGCTGCCGGTGCTGGTGCACGTGCTGCTGCAGGTGCAGCTGCTGCTGCAGCTGCTGCTGCAGGTGCTGGTGCAGCTGCTGCTGCTGCTGCAGGTGCTGGAGCTTTTGCGGCTCCACCACCTGGACGAGATGCTCCCGCTGACGGGGCCCCTCTGCCGCGACCTCGGCCGGCTCCAGCACGACCTCGCCCACGGCCAAGTGCGCGTCCGGTACCTTGCGATGACATCTGAGCCAGGAACACACCAGCAGTGCCATACGCACGCAAGCACATACACACGCATCCACAGAACACATCAGCACAATCCATATCAGATACTGATCACTAACTGAAGGACTTGCACGAACAAAACAACACCAAGAGAATTGGTGAGCAAACACCAATAATAGAAAAACCGAAAGAACCCAATCCTTCCTGAGGCACACGGTTACCCAGTGTCACTCCGACGCAACACCAGCTACTAAAATCACGTAGTGCCTGATTTGCATTCGGAAAAACACTTCAAAAGCAGGACAACTGCACTTGTCCAACCGGTACATGCACATCCAAAGTCAGCAGATCAAATCGACCAAAAGGAGAGAAAGCTGCGGAAGCGGGAGCGAGCAAAAATCGCTTTCGCCACTCAACTGCTTGCTACAACGTAAAAACCTTTTAATTATTCGCATTCACAATATGGATCCGTTTGTCCGAGGGGACAATTCAAACAAAACTCTTTCATGTGACAGTACGATCGTAGACAGTTTTGAGGCGAAATCGGAAATGTTGCGAAGTCATAACACAAGGTGACTTTACGATTTCTCAAAGAAATTAGCCAGTAAAAAAGACCGAATAGGGAGAGCTGCTTGTGTTCAAGGCAAATTAAAATATGGTTTCTGGCAGACAGAATTGCTAGTCTGCACAAAGCAAAACAGAAGCTCGACAACAATTTCTCAAAAAATACATTCGCCTGCAGGAACACACGTGGAAATAGGAGTACTATTCTAAACGTCAAAAAAATGGACAACACTTTCAGCCACATTGCCTGAAGGCGTGAAAGCACGCCCGAGAAGACAAACTACGTCGCTAGGAAAATGTACTGAAATTCACTTCGAACACATACTGCGCCAAAGTGGAAACCAAGCGAGTAGCTTTTAGTTCACAAAATAAGAAAGGTGGAAAAGAAATTTACAAATCGAAATGTGGACTGCGGCGTTGGCAACAATACAAGAACAAAAAATCCAATAAGACTGTACCTTGATAACTGCCTATGTCCCTCCTAGTATCCTGGTGACTTCCACAACGACAGGAGAAACGAACCCACCTAAACCTACTTCCTTCCTAACTAGCCTCGTGCACTGGAAAACGACTTTACTTCAAGGAAGAACAAAAACACTCTACTCGACTCGTGAGAAAAACGCTGGCTTGAGGCGCGCAAGCGCAGTACTCTCGAAACACGCATTTCGCGTGGACAGGTACGGCGTACGAGAAATCGGCCGCGGCGGATTTGCCCCAGCGCTTTCACAACGACTTCGCTACATGAAGCATGCAGTCTTCGGCAGAAATGACCGTACCATACCGTATGACCGTATAGCAGTAGTAGTAACGAGCATACGACGACCGTACTCGTAGACTCTACGGTCGTCCGGTGTAAAATACGGTATATACGCCGCCTTTTTCGCTTCACTTCTTGTATTGACTATTTCTTCAGACTAGTTCAGTCAGCTGGCTTCTATCGATATCCACAACGACCGCTCATGTCATGATCAGGCTCGTCTTGATGTTGTTGCCAATGCCAATGGAATCTGGGGTGGCCGATTTGAGCGCACCTTTCTTGATGTAAGGTTTCCTCAGTGCTTGCACGTCACGAGAAGGACAAACGCCGCGCCGGAGCCTCGCGGAGCTGTCCGGAGGTATGAGCAGCGTCTGTTTGAGGTTGACCGCGCCATTGCTGGCAGCCACTGGTGGCACTAGCAAGTGTGCATCGCCGGCCCTATTCAAGGAGGAGATCCGCCAGATAGGCGTTAGGCTTTGGGTCACAAATTGAATCCTGAAAATAAAGATTCTTTAAAGGGGAAGTATACCCTAAAATCAAATTTTCACCAGTTGTAGTCTTCTGGGTGCTGAGTCGAATGGTCTTGGTCCGAGGAAGCTGAGACGCTCCCTTCCTACTTGAATCCCAATCGAACTCGCGCACTTCCACCGAAACTGGGTGACTGCGCCCTACTAGATGGGGATTTGTATGCAAAATCTCACTAAAAGCGCCATTTCGTTCTTATAAAAGCCCGGATGACCGCGATTGGCCCATATGTTGTAGTCTTTTGGACGCTGAGTCGACTGGTTTTGGTCCGAAAAGGCTGCGATGCAGCGTTCCTCCTTTATTCCCAATCGAACATGGTTGAACAAGCGGTCACGTGCTCCTGGGTGCCCAAATCACCTGGTCACCGCGCCAGCAGGCGACAACTTTCACACCAAGGTTCAACTCGAGTTCAACTCGAGTGACAGGACTGCACCCAAAAAAGGTCAAACAGGCTAGTAAGCTGTACCCTGCCGGCACGGTGACCAGGTGACTGGTGTACGCAGGAGCACGTGACCGCTTGTTCAACCATGTTCGATTGGGAATAAAGGAGGACCGCTGCATCGCAGCCATTTCGGACCAAAACCAGTCGACTCAGCGTCCAAAAGACTACAACATATGGGCCAATCGCGGTCATCCGTGCTTTTATAAGAACGAAATGGCGCTTTTAGTGACATTTTGCATACAAATCCCCATCTAGTAGGGCGCAATCACCCAGTTTCGGTGGAAGTGCGCGAGTTCGATTGGGATTCAAGTAGGAAGGGAGCGTCGCAGCTTCCTCGGACCAAGACCATTCGACTCAGCACCCCGAAGACTACAACTGGTGAAAATTTGATTTTAGGGTATACTTCCCCTTTAAGAGTAGAGCCCACACGCTCTCTTCCAATAGTTCAACTCATTTCACAATAATTATTCCAACATTTCGGCAAATAATAATTGCCTTTATCAGGTTCACAATGACATGCAAGCTCTCGAAACGTTGGAATAATGTGAAGAAGCAATTTTTGATTGGTCCGGCCATATTATGGCATTCTTACAGTTTGTGTATGATATGGACGGTAGTCACATGACCTCCTCAGCAGTAAACACACGTTGGCGATCAAAACGTTGGTCCGGCCATGGCCAGATCAACCAGACCGGTTCCACCGGGCCTGTCGACTGTTTATGAAACTGCAGGGAACCTCCCCACTTTTACTATAAAGATTCGTATTGCTAAAAGCATCTTGCCAGCATGCTAGTCGACGCCGTACTCCGTCACGATGGCATGGCTCTTTGCATTCGTCCGAGCTAGCGTGATGTGCCTTCGTGGGGCAAGATCCTCATCCGCACACCGTGTCATGTCACCAGGGACCCCGCCGCGTCTGTGGTAGTCAGCCGAGGCACTTGTTTCCTTGCATGACAACTAAAGACATGTATATGTGTGTCTCCAGCCTCTTGGTGGCTTTCCGCTTCCACTAATTACTCCTTGTTATTTCAAGGAGAAGGCTTAGAGCCCGAACGTGCACTTTTTTATTACAGTACTTGCCATGGCGACCCCCTTAAGTTCACGTAACTGGCAAGGCAGGATTGGTCCTTTTTTTATTTTACATATCTACGTCGTGTTTGTTCGCCGGTAAAAGAGGCTTTGGAAAAATAACTTCAGTCAGCCTCAGTTTCCCGAGAGCTGGAGTGGAGATGGAGGACCGAGTGGTCCCAGGCTCCATCTCCACTCCACTGAGCTCCCTGTGCCGGTGCATTCAAATCTGCTGTAAGCGACCGCGACCCAGGTTCAGTCAGGTGCGAAACTGTACTTGCCATTGCGCTGTCAACTGCAAGGTGTGAAAATGCAAGTGCGATTGACTGGCCCTAGCTGGCACCCCTATATTCTATTGAATATCCAATAAAATGATATTAAAAATCACATTATTCTCGTCGATTTGAGTACATGGAAGCATATACCGGTATGCATGCCCGGTATGCCGGATTTACCATACGTCTGCCGTAAGAGACCGCTTTTTCTTGTACCAAGGGCCGGCGGTTGCTTACGACAGATTTGACTGTAGTACACAAAGTGAAATTCAGCGCCCAGTGCGATGTTGTTAATTGTAGCACCATGTACCAAGAGTACATAAACTAGGTCTAACTAGATTTATGTACTCTGGGTGTATGAACTCTTGGTTGCACTCGATGATGACGATTACCCGAAGAGCTAGCAGATCTACGGCCGGGGGATCTCTTGCAGTCTTGTTTGTCAAGTTAGCCACGGCCTTCAAATGGATAGATTCTACTTTCCTCTACCGGCTCTACCAGGAAAAAATTGGTAGAAGCCGGTAGAAGTTGGTCGAGCTACGGGATTTCCGGCAAGATCAAGGATTTGTACACAACTCCATACAGAAGAGGAACATTTCACATACATACGTGAAAACTACTAAATCCGGTAGACTATATATATATAATAGCGTTTGTGCACTTGCCTCTACCGTCTACCTCTATCGGTAGAGTGACTCTACTCTACCAGGTAGCTAAAAACGAACGCAGCCTAGGAGCTAGTGGTCTCTTTGCTGCAAACGGTTATGTCTCAATCAAATTGCTCAGCCAGGAGCCATTATTGACATTATTAATTTTCATAGTTTACATCATTGCATGGTCGACATCGAGTGGCACGTTCACCAGTGCACTAGCAAACCAAGTCGTAAACTCAGTGCCTGTAGCAATGTACAGTTAAAAAACTTCAGAACTACAGCGGATCGTCAAGGGCCAGGACAATATGACTATGTGCACACCGTACCAATACGGTCCTGGTACGAGTTGGGGGAGCTCGAGAGAGAGAGAGAGCGGCATGCTCAATGTGCCTAGGTGCAGAGGCTTTCAATTCCCGTAGCTATGCAAAAGACGCTACTTTAGTAGCGCCTGGCGCTAGCCAGGGTGCACACAACTGTACACGTTGTGCTGTCAAGTGAATGCTTTGGCGAAAATTTCCAAGTTACTAATAGTGCAGCCATAAAGCGTCCGTCCCCTGCGTTGTGCCTGTAGCCAACGTACTCTGTATACAAGGTCACATGACTGTATTACAACGTACTCTGTATACAAGGTCACATGACTGTATTACAACGTACTCTGTATACAAGGTCACATGACTGTATTACAGTATGCGTGTACTAGTAATGCAGGGCCCTCCGAAGGAGCACTTTAAATCCCATAGTGTGTACATGCACTACACCACACACACACTACACCACACACACTACACCACACACACACTACACCACACACACACTACACCACACACACACTACACCACACACACACTACACCACACACACACTACACCACCACACACACTACACCACCACACACACTTCACCACCACACACACTACACCACCACACACACTACCACCACACACACTACACCACCACACACACTACACCACCACACACACTACACCACACACACACTACACCACACACACACTACACCACACACACACTACACCACACACACACTACACCACACACACACTACACCACACACACACTACACCACACACACACTACACAAACGCAGTTTTGTGTAAGCATCCCAGTCAGAATATTATTATGTCATATCCGACCTTGGACGCTCTTATAGTGTGACCGTCCATATACGACATTGGCTACAGGCACACAGAAGGGAAAGATTGGCGTAAAAATCCCGTACCAGTGGGGATTGACAGCGCTGTCCGAGTAACAACCCATCCGACAGGCACTGTAAAGACTCGAACTAAAGCTAATGTGGTCTGGCCATCTCTCCCAGCTAATTTTTTTTACTGCGAACACAGCTCTACAAAGAGACTTGTAATTTACCGGGACCTTCTTACAAGGAAGCACTAGCATGTGAGATCAAGAGACCAACCACTGCTGACTTTTACACGTAGGCGAACAAGATCCATGGGTCCGTTCTCCGTCCTCTTGCTGACATCGCTCACGTTTCTCTTGATCGATGGCCCTGCGACCACTTCTGGTTTTACATGCATATGGACACACACGCCATGTGTCACTAACCGCAGCACACTGAAATGTCCACCAGGATATATTTGCATGGCAAGGAACGATACAGAGGATACGCAAGAAAGACCTTACTACTTGCCTGGATATCAGTGCGGTGTAGCTAGATGACGTACAAATTATCAGTTGCCTGAGGATTGCATTAGCTTTGCTATGTGCATACCATGTAACAGAGTTACTTACAGTAACCGGTTTTAAATCAGGCCGCACCGAAAAAGTCCTTTTTTATCCAGGTAACCCGAGCGCCGACCAATTCTTCTTTTCCGTATGCATTCAAGCATATGGGCATCATACGAATGTACATGTGCGTGCTACACCATGGCCCAAGGCTGAAGTGAGGGGTATACTTGTAATGCAGGCGGTAAACGCCGCATTCATATACACAAGCTAGGCATGTCACGCGGGGTCCATTGTAACCAAAGTCAACTACAGTACAACCTGTGAAGGCAACCACCTGTCTTAAAAGACCACTAAAACCAGGACCAAGGGATGCTATTTCCAGTCAAATGACCCTGGATAAGGAGACCATCTGGTTACAGAGACCACATTTTGAAGGTCCCTTGAGCGGTCGTCTTAAGACAGGTTTCACTGTAAATTACTTCCAACAACAGACGGACATTAATAATCAATTTACTTGTACAATATAGAGTACCACACACTGCTTCCAATTCCATCCAGCATTCTTGTGGGGGGGGGGGGGGGGGGGGACTAATGCGGAGTGCCCCACCAACCTGGGCTGCTCACACACACAATCACAGCCATAGTGTGTTATTGACACCCACGTTATTTATAATTACAGATGGAGCGGACTCGCTCCCTTCTATTTACACTGCAACGTTCGAACACATTTTCGTAGTTAAAACAACGTTTCGGCATATAGCCCTCATCAGGTTTGCAATGATGTGCACTCTACAAAGGAGCAGCAAATATACTGTGCTGTGCTGTGTTTGCGCCAAATGTGTCAGCTACAAAGGTGGCGAAAGGGATTGGTGATATATTAATATCCAGATACGATAATATATTCACAGTAGTGCCCAGCCAGCATTAGTGTTTACTTGCGGCCGCAAGTTGCGGATTTCAACAGCTTCTCGCAGTTTTCTGCTTGCTCTGTCGCCTGCCCTTGCCAGGACTGACACAGCCGAGAACACACTATCCGCAGCAGCTATACTCTCGCCAGAATGTTTGTCGCGCACGTGGTCACCCCATGGCTTATCGAGAGTGCGACGGCGTGCCTCGCCATTGTGCTCCCGAATTCTTGTTTCCAAGGAGCGTTCCGTCTCCCCAACATACGTTTCCCGGCACCATTTGCATTGCAATTCGTAGACTACATTCTTTGTCATACATACTCGTTCGCCTCCAGACTGACAGGTAATGCAAGGCCCTAGTGGACGTCCTCTTCGTCTTTTTTCAGTAATGTTGGGCTCGTTTACGCACTTGGGTGGTGACAGCGCCGAACGGCACAGTTGACGCCTGAGGCTGCCCGAGTGCTCGTATACGACACGTACCGGCAACTTGTATTTCCGTATTGCTTTGTTCACATGGTGGTGTACTTCATCGGACTTGAGGTAGTTTAAGGAAGGCAGAGCGAGGATTACCGCGTCGTCTACGCCGAGGTTTCCTGGCAGCTTCCCTTGCTTCCGATATGATACTGGCTGGGTAGTTATTTATGCGCAGTTGTTTGTGTATTTTTTGTTCGCTCTCGGCTTGCATCATGGGGTAGAGTTGCTGCTCCTTTGTAGAGTGCACATCATTGCAAACCTGATGAGGGCTATATGCCGAAACGTTGTTTTAACTACGAAAATGTGTTCGAACGTTGCAGTGTAAATAGAAGGGAGCGAGTCCGCTCCATCTGTAATTCTGTATGAAACTGCAGGAGGCCTCACCGCTTCTAATCACGTTATTTATATTATTATTATTTATTCATATTTTAATAGGGCATTCCCCACAGACTCAAGGTCTTCTTACGGGCTATCACACTGATCTTGTACATGTAATACAGTGCCATCCAGGCATAGTCCTATCAGGAGCTGTGCAGAGACTTGCGACATTGGGTGGGGTTTCTGGCAGCAAGTTGATGAGCTAAGCGACGTGGCGCCTTGGGTGTTGGAGAGTTGATAACGTCAGGGCTCACGGGTTGTGTACAAATACGTGGGCGCCATTTTGTTTCTGGCCAGCTCACGCGACGACAGGTCGACAGTCACGCGACCACAGCTCGACCACCCCTTGTAAACAAACTCTAGCCATCTCGCAGTGCATTTTCAGTGCGAGACATGCCTCTTCAAAATAGAGTAAGGTAGCACGGGTAGACAGTACGACACTGAAAATTTGGGTGGAACCAGGCAAGATGTGAACTAGGGTTTAAACCGAAGGAATTTTTGATTTTGGCCCCGGGAAACTAAAGAGATTGTCACAAAGTCCGTGAATGCTCTACAGCGATCCCTTCATTTAGAAAAAATCGCTTCGGTTAAACTGTAGCTTAGCATCTACTGAAGATTTTGAGCCATCGATTGTCAAAATCAGCCAATATTGTGCTACCTTATACTGTTTTGAAGTGAGCTAAGTCGGCAGGGACGCACGCGAACGCGACGACAAGGAAGGAAGCATGTGCATATGCGCAAGTCCCCAGCCGGTCTTCGTCTTCCTCAGTTCCACTTCTTCTTGTCAGTCACTGCAACTCTCTCGAGTCCTTGCTGTGCTCCGCGCAGTAGGCGCGCACTGCCGTGTGCATATAGCTCGAGTTAGGGGAGCTCATTTCTATGGTGATCAGATTTCAAGATGTCCTCCCATGTAATCAAGTTTTGGCATCCCAACCGTGAGCCCTGAACGTACGACGCAGCTACTGCGTATGCAGCACTATCCACAGTACAGCTAACCAAACACATAGAATATTCAAATGTCACGTCGTTGCACACCGCCAATACCAAACCTGGCAACAAATGTACTTGTAGCAAAAAATGGTTTGCTTTGCAATCATCACACGGAGCCACGAGCGTACTCGCTCGCCTCGCGATCAACTGAAAGAGCTGGCGAGGTTTATGATCAGGTGGACAGACACTCCACAAGAAACAGTTTTCCGCTCTTTGTCAAGTACAGTCATGATCTACACGTAATTGTTGCAAGTGACCCTGGCATGCTGGCCGCACTACCGAGAGACACGACTACTAGTGCACATGTCTGTACTAGTAGTACTTACACCTCAATGACGTCGCCCGATAGGAAAGAAATTACAAACAAGCAACTACTCGTACTCAACAGAGGAGGGACGTAAATCTACATAATCCTCGTTGTTGAACAGCATAATCTACTAGTAGCTAGCTAGCGAAAAACAATATCGTAACGACCATATTGTCCCTATGGCCGTAGACATCATCACATTCGCTTTCATGTTCTTGGGTTCTTGCCCGTTCGAAGTTGCGAATTCCAAAAAATACAAAAAAACAAACGTGGCTATAATTACGATTAAATTTCGCACAAATAGACGAGACGATGCGAAAGCGCGTGCGACAACCTCGCGAGGGCACTACGCAAATTCGAAACAGGTAAACAAGCTTGCCTCTAGAAATTATTTCAGCCTGGCTATCATTAAACCAGAAGCCTCACCAGCCAGCGCCACCGCTCCGCGCAGCAGCGGTAGCCATGGCGCATAATTACAGCATACACATCCAATGCAAGCAACGCAACGCGCGAGCTGGCGGCAAAGCAAGAAAGCAGCCACGTACCTTTCTAGGGTATCTTCCTCCTTCTTAGCTCCTTCACAAGACGGGCACTGGGGCCCACCGTCGCGACGCACAATGTAAGGCAAGAAGACGTCGTCAGTGTAAACCAAACGATGCTGCCCTCAAGACAATAGTCAACGACAATAGTCGAGTCAGCGATGAAGTGTTGTACTACTGTTGAGCGTCCAAGCCAACGACAGGTAGCTATATATCGGACTAGGTAGGCTTTCACAAAAATGAATAATTATTATTATTTAAAAAAAAGGATCACTGTCTTGCACAGATTTACATTTTTCATACCTAGTCCTAGTACCTCATGATCTAAGTCACAGTATAAAGTGCATAGGCGCGGGCGCGAGGCGTTCTAGATACACGTGTGAGTCTATCGCCGGTCATGTACATTTTTGGCGCGCATGGCCACGCACAGTCTAGTGTGATACGCATGGGTGCGTGCATCGGCGCGCGGGGCGCCAACATTAATTCCATACAGGCATGCCACGGGCCACGGCCGGCGGTGCACGGTGCTGATGAAACAGTGTGGACCAATGCGTGGTAGACACGTCACAATCTGCAGTTCTCCACCAATACTGGCAATAATCACTGGCATCCGTTGTTACTTATTTGTGAACTACTTCACACACCGTACACCAGGGAGTCATAGAAACTCTTGCCAAGTCTTCACTCTGATCTTGCCAGTCTTGGCCTTCAATTCAAGTATTACTATTACTAGTTACCATGGTTACATGTACATGTACATGTAGTTGGTTGTCGGGCATTGGTTGTGAGAGTTACCACCTCACTCTCGCCGTTAGCTAAGGGCGCTGCATCTGCCACCCTTGTATCACACTTCACAGGCATGGTGGTGGCCTGGCACATGCGAAACTAACTAACTGTGTGTTCTCAATACAATTCCGTATAGCCGGTGGTAACCATGGTAACGCGGACGTGCGAACTTCAGTCTTTACTACTACTAGTTCAAGGCTTGGCCTTTACCATGTTTACTGGCTTTAGCCTACATTGTAGCTTTTGCCAGCTTTGGTTTGTACGACTCCCTTCACAAGACATGTGCAGGTGTGGTGAGGCAGCGAGAGTTGTGATAGATCTTCGACTTCGTCACTCACAATCACAGTCACACATACATGTACATGTACAATGTCATGTGCATGACTGTACATGCGATAGTTGTATCGGCCAAGGCCCGCATTGGCCTTGGCTTGCACTTGGACTTGAAGTAATTTTAGTTTTAGTTTAATACATGATTGTAGTTGTACAGTAATGTAAGTAAAGACTTATGAAGTTATGGCTTATGCTGTAGTCTTGCTCTTGCTCGTCTTGGCTCCAGCCTGTGTTAGTGTAACTACTAAGTCTTTATAGTGTAAGCATGGTAAGTGTAAGCTGCAGTGATCGTGATACGTACAATGATTGTGTAGCATGACATGTCATTCCTGGCTCAGGGCCAACCTGGTGACACCTATTAAAACATGATTCTGAGTTGCGGAGGCTAGAACTGTAGAACTTAGAAGGATTCAACCAAGCGTTTGACAGATGTGGTCAAGTCGTAGAACTAAGCGTGGTCACAGTTGGCCGTAGGCTGAATTGCCTACTACTGTACTAGTGTTAGTACTATTACCAAGAGTACATGTACATGTAGATAAACAAGAGTGTGCAACTCCGGATCTCTCCTGCATAATCTGCAGATACCCCCGACCACGGCGGAATTTTTTGTTGACGTCACCTTTTTTTCAGAAGAACGCGCATTTTGCCGCAGAGCAGTGTGAGAGGTAGGTAGGTAGGTACATTTTTATTTGAATTCGCAGAACCAAACGGGCGGTGTCGCCCAATCACATGGAAGCGAATGGAAACAGTAGATATTGTAGGAAATAGCCTAACATGATAGCAGGGTGTAGTACAAAGCAAAGAACGCTCAGTCAATGAATAGCGTTAACGTTAGAATACAACACCGGGGAGGCGGTAAACATCACATGACTGGTACTGTGGAGTACCGCAAACGTTCAAACTTCAAAGGTTCCTGTAGTGTTCAGTAGTGGGTGCTACTGCTAGCAAGACAGAACGGGAGGCAGGCTTGTTTGAACTGGTGGTACTGGGTAATACCACGCACGTCGGATGGCAGGGTGTTCCACAAAATGGACCCGCGAGCGGTTGGACGGTCGTGGCCGGCTTTGGAGGCAGATTTGGGCACTCGAAGGCCCAAGCTACGTTGCGCGCGCGTTGTTCGAGTACTGGGACGCTCCAGAAGGGCTTGCAGTGCATTGCTTGCCCGACCATTCGAGCAACGCCAGATCATAATAAGGGTCTTTTGCTTGTGGAGCTCTTCGATGCCATACAGCTGCAGACGAGCAAGCAGAGGTTGGGCACTTGTGCGAGGTGGCAGGCCGAATACGGCGCGTGCCGCACGGTTTTGCTGGACCTGAAGGCGGGACCGCTGGTCTTGTCGAAGGCACCCAGAGAACGCCACGGACCCGTAGAGCAAATCTGGCATCACAACGGATTTCACGTACTGCTCTCTGGACGTTCTTGTAAGGCAACGGCGGGCTCTCCAGAGTGCTCCCACCTTCTGCGAGGCCTTCTTCACAGCATGCTGCTTTGCTGCTTCGAATTGTAGTTAGACCGCTTTGTCAAATCGCCTACTGGTCTCGTCATCGTCCAGTAACAATCGACATTCTTTGTTCCGTTGGGACTGTAGCTTGTGCTCGTTTTCGTTGCGCTTGCCTTCCCCTCTTTGGTCTTTCCATAACCTTGAACCTTCCAAGTTGGAAGGCTGTCGGTTAGCGCTACGGAGATGTGTTGAAGCTAGGTGTCAGGACGTCGAATGTCTCAGTACTCTGTCAGTTTTGTGCCTAGTTATTGCACTTTCTGACTGTATATAGTATCTAGTTACAGTGATGGAGAGTTACTCTTAACTCGTTTCCATATGTCCTTTTCCTTTCTACTTTCATTATTGGCTCAATACCCGAGTTTCAAATTATTACTAGTGGTAGTTCTTAACCCCATATGGTGGTTGGTTCGAGTTTGCTATTCCCCGAAACACTGTTTTATTGTTTTTGGTTTTTTTTACTATTATTCACGAACCTAAGAAAGGGTTCGCTCCCCACATGCACACGTACACCGGAGCTCGCGCTATTCCGCCCACTTGACTTGACACATGACTGACTCACGACTCACAAACCTAACTCGTAAAATAAATTAATTATGTGGACAAAAACAAAGTATTGACCAGGCCAGGGGGCCGGGGTGCTATAGTGCCAGTACTGTAGTGGTGCGGCTTTCTTGCAGGTTTGCCGAGTCGAAGGTTCGATGGATTTCTCGGCTGCTCTGGATGGCAGACTGTCGTGAGTCAGTCAAGTGTCAAGTCAAGTCGGCGGAATAGCGCGAGCTCCAGTGTGGGCATATGCGCATGGGGTGCAAACTCTTTCTTACAAATCATCGCCGAAGTCGCAACCACTATTTCGTACTGTTGTGTCCAGCGCGGGCTTGCGGCTAGCTGGCTTGGAGGTGACAGCGTTGTGAATGACCGAGGGTCCTCAACGTCTGTTCTCACCATCCAGGACTAGCAGCGACACTGTCTCACGCTGCTATCTGGTGTTCACGAGGTGTTTGCCGCGCTGGAAACGGAGCGTCTCCGTAAGTTTGTATCCCTGGCCTGCTGGTGATGTTTGTGCCTGGAGAGCAGTATATAAGTGGTGCTCTTCAGGCACAATCTTCCTCACCCTACTCAAGCTCAACTGATGCCGGAGGGGTGAATTCCCTGAAACACTGTTTATTGAGCAGGGAGTGATGCTTTCTTGCAGGTTTGCCGAGTCGAAGGTTCGACGGACTTCTCGGGTGCTCTGGATGGCAGTCGTGAGTCAGTCAAGTCAAGTCGGCGGAATCGCGCGAGCTACAGTGCGGGGAGCAAACCCTTTCTTACAAATCATCGCCGAAGTCGCAACCACTATTTCGTACTGTTATGCCTAGCGTGGGCTTGCGACTAGCTGGTTTGGAGGTGACAGCGTTGTGAATGACCGAGGGTCCTCGACGTCTGTTCTCACCGTCCAGGGCTCAGGAGCGACACTGTCTCACGCTGCTATCTGATGTTCACAGGGTGTTTGTCGCGCTGGAAACGGAGCGTCTCTGTAAGTAATAGTTGGGTATCCCTGGTGATGTTTGTGCCTGGAGGTCACTATTATAATTATTATAATTATACTGTATATACCCAATGCTGTAGACAGCAAGCTGGTGCTCTTCAACTGTACAAAACTAGCTAGTATAACCAGGTATGACGAAATAGTGGTTGTGACTTCGGCGACGATTTTAAGAAAGGGTTTACTACTATACTAGTGACAGTAGTGGCTAGTGACAGTATTACTATTACTAGTATTAGTAGTGGCTAGTGACAGTAGCGGTTAGTGACAATAGTGGTATGCATGGTGGGACATGTTTAGGCTCCTGAGGCTCTTGCATGCTGGCTATTTTAAGGTGAACCGGTGCTGGATCATGGCCTAGACTGAGCCCTACTACCATGACTACTAGTACTAGCAAACGGACATGTACAGTACGTATCGCCTACATGTAGATGTATAAGGTTGGCGGCTATAGCGATCAACTGTTACTTCTCAAATTTTCATTTGCCATCACCTAGTATGTATATGTATGTATATGTATGTATGTACATGTATACACAGCAATAAGCGTCTATACATAACCCCTTTTGTCTGTGACTCTTGTCTATAGTAATAATATCGCCTATCAGATTCAATTTTCAAAAGACCTCGACTACTTTTTGCATCGAATTGATGTGAGCTCAAGTGGTGTCAGAGGCGAACAGAAAGTTAGTTTTTTCTCAGTGAAAAATTGGCGCAGTGTTTCGTGAGTTCTACATGTACTTGTAGTATTAGTTGCCCAAAATTCCTCCATTTTTAGGATATGCAGACGTTGTGTGTCAGGAGCCTTGGCTGCATAGACATGATATGGTCAAAGTAGGAGTACGCAGGACATACATGTACATGTTACACATGTACAATGTGCATGGTACATGACTGTACATTAGATTGACAGCATGAAACAAGTTCTGAACTGGTACGAGTCGTATTGGGTTATAATGTACAATGTATGCTTCCACCAACTACATGTATACAGTGTGTATTGTGTACCATGGATGGTACATGGTGTACGGCCCGCCGAGTCTC